CAATAGTAATAATAATAATTAATGAATAAATTAATTAATTAATAATAATTATATATGATCTTGCGTATTTATAACAAAAATTATTTCGTAATTTTAAGTTGTGATAAGATTAACTATAAATGCAATCAGAAAGCTTAACATCTTCAAGAAGATTTAATTAACTTTAGAATTTAAAATATAATGAAATCATTTACATGATCCTTATGTTTATCAATTATGTATTACAAAAGAGCAGTGCTTCCACACATGATTAGAACGAATCAGTTTTAGATGCTTCTGTAGTTACTTTAGGGCAGCTGCAGATAAAATTCCAAAATAGATACGTGATTTTGAATACACAAAAAAGCTTTTCATACTTCACCTAACGAACAACTTTTACTTTTTTCGCGAAACAGTTTCAAATTGAAACAAAGACGGCATTTTATGCACTAATTCTTGCATGATTTATGCCAGTGAAAACTATGAGAGAGTAGACATTGTCAGGGAACTTTTGCATTTATAATGTTGAGCGATGGTCATCAAGTCAAAAAAAGAGTACAACAAACGCTATAGAAAATTTTGCATAAACAAACCACACAGAACTCACGTGTGGCTCAAAACTTTTTCTGTCTTTTTCTAAAGCTTTTTTTGTAGCAGTTGGAATGTGAAATGAAAAGAATAATTCACCAAAAAAACACATGAAACTATAAACTAAGTTATCCTACATTTAGTTATTTCCATTAAAGAATTTTCAAAGGATTGTTGTGAATAAAATTTTGAAACTGGAAAATTCAGAAGAATTAATGAAGTAGATGTTAACTAAATTTCTTAATTTTGTTTAATTATTAATTTTAAAAAAGGTCAGAAATGTATAACAATCAGTGAAAGACAACTTACAATGACAGAGAAAGAATTTTAAGCTTTCTTAGGACACTGAATTTTAAATTGAAATAAGCTAAAATTTATTAAAAGATTAAAAACTACCAGAAAGTACTTGTTTAATGCTACTGAAGTCATTTTTAAAGAAAATGTGAAATTCCACGCTTAGGAATTCTTTAATTCATTTACAGTTTCTAGTGATAAAAGAATGGTCATCAAGAATTTTTTATGAAAAACTTGCTAAGTTTTTCAATAAAATAAATATTCAATGAAATACATGACAATGCATGTAAATTTGCTATCTTTATCTTAGAGATTGTAATTATATAATAATGAAATTTAAAAAGATAATCGCTCATTATAATGCCATTTTAAGCTCTTAATAAATCTGAAACATTGGTTCTTAAGTAATAAAATTTAATTTTTTGGTATGAAAAAGATAAGTTGTGGTTTGATTTCAAATACATGAATATATGGCGATTGAGAAAATTTATGCTAAACTGTATTATATCAAGCAGTTATATCATGCAGTCAGAGTAAATTTCTACGTCAAAGTGTAGAGGAAAAATCGCGAGACTGAAGAAAATTGTATTTTTAGCTTATATTTGATAATGAAAAACAAAAATTAATGATTTGCAATGATCAAATACTTTTCTCGAAAGGAAGAAAGATCGTAAACGTTTGGTTTTTTTATTTGCATTTATGCATTCCAAAACTTTAAAAATCATTAACCAATAGCATACATTTGTTTCCACTTAGTTTTTCTCAGTTTTTTCACTTTGATATGCTTTCTTTCTAGAATTCATTTTTGTTCCCAAGCATACTGTATGTATGAGCTGTTTCAAAAAAACTGCCTTTCTTCAAGAATTCCGTAGCTTTACACTTTGTGTTATAGCAAATTAGCATTGCGCTTTTTTGTTTTTGATAACATGTTATTGGGTCTGATTATTCCTGAAAAATGTATTATTTGTAAGTGATACAATGATTTGCTTTTTCTTTCGCTTTAATTTGTTCATTGTAATCGTTGTTTTCAGAAGTTTTAAAGTTTTTTCTTCCTCACATATTCCAATAAATGCTGATACTTTTTTGGACTAATTAAATCTTCAAGAAGATTTCATATCAGTTTCTCCGTGTGCATAATTAATAAATTTCTCCGTCTGCATAACAGTTCAAAATGAAAATTAGATATAAAATACGTGAATATTTTTTGTTTTTGTAAAATATTCAGAAGCAATTTCAAATTTTTTATCAACTAAAATTAGTTATTCTATTATAAACATGGCATTTATTAATGCGTTTTTAAAATCAACTGCAATTATATAATTAAGCTTACTTAAAGCACGTTTCCAAATATCAGTTATTACTTATAAAAATAAAAAATAAAAAATAAAAAAAACTGTATCATAAGTGCTTTAGCCAGTGCATTCGAATTTTGATTAATAATCTTATCGTACTTTTACGGATTTATTATTAATTTTAAAAAAAGTCAGAAATGTATAACAAGCAATAGAAGACAACTTACAATGATAGAGAAAGAAGTTTATGCTTTCTTAGGACAATGAATTTTAAGTTGAAATAAGCTAAAATTTATTAAAAGATTAAAAACTACCAAAAAGTACTTGTTTAATTCTACTGAAGTCATTTTTAAAGAAGTTTTTTTGTTATGAAAAATTTTTAAAACTGGAAAATTCAGGAAAATTAATGAAGTACTAAATTGCTAAAAAAAAATTTAAAAAAAAATTCTTTATTCATAACAAAAAAAATAGTATTTAATTTAGATCTAAAGATAACCAAGTCTATTAGTAGTATTAGTGAAAGTATGCAGTGATAAATAATACACCTTCTGTTTGGAAAGATAATAAATTGTAAAACTTATCTCTAAACATGCAATAATCTTTTATCTCTTTTCAGTTGATTTAGTACTGTGTATTCTTTCCTTGCTTTGCACGCTACCCAAATTCATAACATTACTGTTTTAACATTTTTGAGCAAATTTTTGCAAATACACTTAATTCTCATTTCATGCTGTAAATACTGAGGGATTGCAATAATCGCCAAAGTAAGTGAATTATAGCGCCAAAAGAGTTCTAAATGTAAAGGAAGAAGTGAGTAATTGGATTGTTTTTTATTTTTAAAGTGGATGGGAAAAAATAATGTTTCAGTAATGTAAATATAACAATGTCACATGCGTTAATTTTTGAATTGAATAATAAAAAATTATCGTATTTTATAAATTTAGTTTAAAGATTTTTACTGCATTTACCAGACAGGGCTTGGAGATTTTTTATCTAATGAAATCACAACCAAACATAAACAGTCAATCGTGGGTAAACTAAAGGCTGATATAATTAATTCTTTCATAAGTGGTAAAGCTTTCAATTTCATGAAAACGAATTGCTACAATTTTCAATACTTGAGGACTTCAGCTGATTGAATGTATACAATAATCAACTATTCAAAAACATCCTAGTTTTTCAATCTGAGTGGAATAGTCTTCCTACATATTTTCCCATTCATACTTTCATGCCAGATATCTAACTACATTTATTTCTTTCACTGTTGCTTGTTTTCTCTACCTAATCGTGTACACTATAGTAAAATAATATTATTACTAACATTATGAAGTGATAATCGAATTAATTATAATTATTAATGATGGTAATGACTGACTTTAAATAAAAAATTTGTGATCCTATAAAGTCATTATCAATTTTTATATGAAATTTGATAATCACAGTGATTATAACGACAACAGTTTTACAGTGATTACAATAATAAATAATAATTTTTATTGCTGATTTTAGTGGTAGCATCATTAGCAAGTAACTTGAGTAATAATTTAAGTCATAAAATTTGAATACATTACTCATCATTCCCCACAGATTACAAGAATTAGCTATAAAGTGAATGTTAAACAAAAATGTGCTTATACACAAGAACTACCCAAATACCTCTACATGCGAGCATATATACACATCTATTTACACATTAATTTGCATATACACATGCATTAATTACGCACACGGAGAAACTTACAATAAAGAAGGATATATGTCGGTATATAATAATTGTGAATTGACTTTAAGCAAGACAACATGAAGTGAAAGTGACCAAACTAGGTGCTCAGGAAAAAGCCGAAAGATTAACATGCAGGTAGCAAAGATGAAAATGATTGTTGTACAGGCGACTGCAATAACTTTTTTTTTCACATAAAATTGTTCAACATTTTAGTTTTAACTGTAAGTATTATTTTTGAACAAGTGGACTGCTTGGTGGCTTGACCATAATATTTTGCTGCGACATTTGTGCCTTTGGCATACATCCTGTACCAAAATCTTTTTCATAACTCCGTTACTTTGACCTTTTATTATTTCCATAATCACATAACACTATCATTAGCTTGATATCATTAGTTAATTTTGCTTCACTCATTTGCTTCGTGCAACGATTGCTTCTATATTTGTTCTTTTTCTGCTAATTAACTGAAATTTATCAACAAAAATTAAAGCAACATTGTTGCTCTAGACAAATTGGATTCAATGATTACTCCAGAATTGCAAGACTTAGATGATTCAGAAGAAACAGATATGATTCCTTTTATCAATTTCGATCATGAAGGTGACTCAGAAAAATTTCTAAATATCTTTGTTGTTTTATAACACTGTTGCATATTTTGTTAAAATTTGCCTAAATTCAATTAATATTTCTAAAATAAAGAAAAATTAGTCACTCTGAAAATAAAGAGAAGTCAAAAAACTGAGTAAATACATTTTGCACCAATAACGTGCATCTAGTCAAAATTGTCTGTAGAAACCACAATCATGCTTGGTATTTGCTTCCTTATTAACTTTCAGAAAAAATAACCTAGTCATTATGACTACAAATAATCGCAAAAAAAGACGGTGAGATAAATATTGCAGAAAGCATGGTTGACGGAAGTACTGTTTTCCCTTCTCTATCATTTATTCATGATGACATTCAAAAGAGTTTTCAAATGCCGCAACAATTCATGCTAGAAACTGAATCACAAATAAGTGCTCAAGATCCTGTTTTCTTAGATGAAGGATGTTTGGGAGGATGGACACAATTAGAAAGCGATGACAGTGTAACTTTCCACGGTAATTTTTTTTTCTGATGGTGATAGTACTTCTCTGTGCTATTTTGAAGATTTGGTTAGCAATTTTTAGACTCGTCACATGTTTGAAGGATGTCTTACATTTTAAATATTGTTTTAAGGATTGACTATTACTGAGCTATTTTGATTCAGTTTGATGTGAATTTATTCTGTAAACGCAACTTTAATTCAGCATGTTTTTTTCAAGAATGAGTCGCGAAATTATAAAATGTGATTTGTTATTGGAAAAATTCAGTAAAATTTACCAAGTTTATTCATCCAGTTACTCATAGTCATCTACACGGAAAAATAACTATATATAACAGTGCTTTCGTGTTATGAGAATTATGAGCACAGAAAACGCTTTAAATACTGAAATTTTAATTTTAATTATACTATACAAAATTCCTTCCTCATTTTGCTCGTTAATCTGTATCATTTCTGCAAATTTGGATAGAAAGAAAACAACCTGAAAAATGGCAATGAGTTGTCATTAAAATTTATTGAAAGGAACTATAACTCAAGTTTCAAGCATCCTTTGTTAAAAATCGCTGATCACAAACATTCCCATGAAAATGGGAAAATGACCAGCTTTTTTTGCATGTTCAACTACTCTTGTGACACAAAGATGTAAAGTAGCATTTTGAAGTGATTAAACTGATCGGTTATTCATAATCAATTTGACAAATGATTGAGAATAATCGACCAGCTTTTTCTTCAAGATTTGTTAATTATGTTATTCCTGAAAATAAAATTACGAGAGGACTGGAGGTAAATGTTTTCCAGTAGTGTTAATATAAAATAGAGAAATTAAACTACCGTTCGATATAAGAAAGAAACGAAGTTAAACTATACTAATAATTCAGTCTTTGTAAGCTAATTTTTTTAAATCTACATAATTCATTCCCTATGTCAGTACTAACATTTTTGATAACCCTTGATAAATCTTAACAACTATTTTTTCGATGGACTTTGCAATGCGCTGTAAACAAAATTAATTCTTTGTTTAATTCAATTTGCCCAATAACGCATTTTGGTTTTAAATCTTGTACATAAACAGTGAATTTGCGTAACCTAAATACATTTTATTGCAAAATTCTGAAGCGAAAAACGTTATGAAAATGTTTATAATAATCGTATGCAAACTTGACCATTAACGAAAATGTGAAGTGAAGATTCATGAAGCAACCATATGAAGGACAATAACTAACGCCGTTTCTTTCTTAATTATTCATAAATCTACTTTCGATATTCTTCATCTCAAGTCAGGCTTTATATAGGGAGATCACAGGAACTGAAAGCGAAGGCAATTTGACTAGTGTTAGTTGTAGCTAAAAAAGTAATGAAAAGTTTGACCATGTCGATAGAGAACATGTTTTTTAGGACATTGTTCTGCTGGGACAATGTACCGAATATTGATTAGTGCTCAGTGTCCTGAAATTTCGCAAACTTGCAGAATTTCACTGTGAGGTGACAAGAGAAGCGTTTGCAAGAAGCATTCGAATCAGTTTCATATATGAATTAACGTTTTGCTGTTTGCTTATCTCTTTCTGAGTCATCTCGTTTCTTTGAAAGAATAAAGTTAAAAAGTTCTGGATGACGAAATTGTGCCTTGCATTTGAAATGTAAGCGGTAAGAGGCTCGTTTAAAACGATGCTACTAGCACTGTTTCAAGGAATTAAAACAAGTCCAGCAACACAAACAGATATTTATTTACTACAAGTTATCGTTGCGCTATCATTCGGTCTCTGCTGGTTATTTACATGTAAACTTTGCACGATACCTTGCATGAGCAGAGCATGCATTCAATCATCATTCACCTCCTCATCTATGCATACATCCATTTACTTATCATAGCAGCTGCTTTTGAAGGTGCTGTTTATGATGCATGCATGAATGAACACTAGGCTCAGCATATTGTTGGTAGTTGCTGCTTGATTATCAATCAAGGACCACTGCTCATGTCACTTTCCTCTTCCACCTGTGCAGCCATGCGCTCGTCCCTCTTTTTAATGACATACTTCACTGCAGTAAGCAGCAGTTAGCCACGTATTACGAATTTCAATGCCAAGCAACAACTACTTTACAGATACCTTGCGTGAGCAGCGCTTACCTTTTGTTGTGCTTAATACATTGCACATGCGCTATTTACGCGTAAATAAAGATTACAATGAAGGATAATCATAAAATACAAATCCAATTCCTACTTACTTGACCTCCCACAGCTGTTTCCTTGAATTGTGATGCTTCAATTGGCTTTCCCCATAATGGATATGAACTTTTTTCTCGTCTTTCTAAACACCTCTTGCCAATTACATTGTCACTCTGCAACCACTATCCTCGTCTAGTTCTCCCATCTTCATCTCAACTTTCCATCACATCTAGTTGGTTGTTCATAGAACGGTGCACTTCACAACCTTCTGCCTATTTCTCTTCTCACCTACACGTGTTCCCTTCCCACTCATTCGTTGCAAGGTATATCGTTGGTGCAGCATTCTAAATCACGTAGTTAACTGAATTCCTATTCACCTTGAGATTGCTATGTTTCTTGACGTTTAGTAGCAACGTTTGACGTAGTGAGCTGATTTACACTCTGTTTTCTCACTTTTATCATTTTGTGCTATTTCTACTTGTCATCATTTACAATTACATGCATTTCACTTCCATTTCCGCTTCACTTTTATTTCTTCTCAGAAAAATATTTATCCGAGATACATTCAAGCTGGTGCTTTGCTAAGAGCTATACATGTCATGTTTTGCTTTCCATTGATATTTGGTTTGAAAAGTCAGATAATTGCCGCATAAGTGTAGTTTAAGTTATTACTGTTGTTGTTATGAAAAGGCGGTGAAGGTCATATAAAGTCAGTCTAGAAGTGCTTCGCAAATTTCTATTAAGAAGATGTATTAATTACTGGCCAATCAATTAATTAGTCCATCTTCCTGTCGTTCCCCAATGGTTGTTCAGGCTTTTTCACTTCCCTCCTCTCTCGTAAGGTTTCATCTACATTTTCATCAATTCCACTATCGATCACGTGTGTTCCATTGATCACACATAGTTCTTACTTGACTTAATGAATTATTGATTTTACTTTATTTTTTGCCTTGTGTTGTTGTGGACATTCAAAGTCATGCTCAGCTTTCATCTTTTCTGCCGTTTTCTTGTTCGTACTCACTTGCATTAATCATACATATTTGTGTAAATGTGAATGCAGTAGAATGTGTTCACTCCTGAAAATGCATTTAGGTACTTGAATAGGTGCATGCAAAGTAATTTGTGTGCATGTGTACTTGCTTGTATGTGAATGAATATTCAGTCTGCTTAAGAACTGATACGCACTACATGTGTGACTATTTCAGCGATTAATATCATACATGCAGTAATCATAAAATGGACAAGATCGACGTCCGTGGACAAGTAATTCATCTCATTTCAAGACAATTCTACCATTCAGTATCAGAGAAAGAAGGGAGAAGAAACCAGACCACATTGTATTATGTAACTTTCTAAAGCTCGTTTCTTGCAAATGTAATTAACGTACTACTGAATAATAGTCGGCTCCAAGTATTTCATATAATGAATAGTTCATACCTGAAGAAATGCATGATTGTATAGTGCAAATTGTTTTATCTCTAGAAAATTTTCTAGTCATCTTTTCAAGTAATCTCCAAAAAAATGTTGTTGATTTTCATTTATGCTTGTAAGCTTTTGGTCAAACGTATCTCATTAGCTACTTAAATAGTGAAGTGGTGTAGGTTCATTATATACATTTACTTTACCTACGTTTGCAATGAAGTATCGATGAAGGATTATAATTTGCAAACAAAACGAACATTGATTGATAATTACAGAAATTTTCAAATCTCAACTGACTCATGGTTGACTGTCATAAGTAGCGCTCATGGACGTCCTATATACCTTGTCATATTTTCTCCTAATTCCAGTTTGCTTATTATTTTCCGTGTAACTGCGTGATGTAATCGTATTCTTATTTTTTTGATATTAAACAGCAAATCAATGAATTATCAGTTTATTCTCAAATCTATCAGAAGTCTATTAATTTGAAAAAATAAGTGATCTTTTGATTATTTATTGATTACAATGCAATCAGCAGGAATTTAATTTCTCTAGCAGTGAGACAGAATGATTAGCTAAAGCTTGCTGTGGAAAAAATAACTTGACAGCTGCCTCTTAAGAAGGAAAATTTGCAAGAAAACTCACGAAATGAGCATTATTTAAAGATAATTTTGATACTGTCGGGGAGTTTTTTAATGCTGAACTTTTATGCTTTTGAATTCTGGAAAAGCAAACTTTCGCACTCATTAAAAGCTCAATTCGTGTCATGCGGGCAGTTGATAGTTTTGGAGTAGAAAGAGGTCAAAGCTACTATTACTTGAGTTTTGCTTTGATGTAATTACATGGCATGCTGTTTTTGAAGTGGGTGCTGCAGTCGTTGTTTACCTTACTTTAATCCGTGCTACTCAAGTAAAAATTCCCATATTTGTACCACATGTGTAATCACGGATGCAACAAATGATGACAAAAAGTTTTTTTGTTTTTGTTTTTAAACAGTTGCATTATCTTTATTTTTGCATGTTACTTCACTCCATTTTCTGTTAGAATCCAAAATTAAACTACGCATTGATTCCAGAGTGATCTAATGGAAGATACGTTCACTTTCGATTTGCCTCATGTTTCTAAAGGCATTGGCCACATTTTAGAAATAGCCAGCTTTATGGTTGTATCTAGATAGAAACGAAATAAAATGAAGATTAGTTAGCTCCGGAGCCCTACCAAAGATTTCGAAAATTTTCGAATTGCTTAATGTAAACACGTCATGGAGCGGGACCATTTGAAATAGGTGGCTATCAATTCGAATATGCAAAATGACTGTAATTTTTTATTGCGTCATGAACACTGATCATAGATATAAGTTCCTGGGATGCTATAAAAATTTATGGTTTCATGTTAAGGGACGCAAATTCGATAAATCACTTTTTAATTCTAATAATGGTATTGTGATTTATCAGACAGAAATGTACTTCACTTGTTTGCAGTTGCACAAATGAGTCAGTCTGTGAGTACGCCTTCACGAATATCAGTACAGTCTGGAAAGGACGGTAAATCTTTACCTGGATCATCATCAGATGGATCTCTCGTAGATGGAGAATTACAATTCCCATCTGCAAAGGGTATCTTTTATGTTCTGATAAGGAAACTATGATTGCTTGATAAATTAAATCAGGAAAATATTTCAGACAGAACATGGAACAAAATCGGTTAAAAAAGCATATTGATATTTTTAAAAACTGGTGGAAAAATTTTTTTTCAGTGCTATGCTATAGAGAGTCTTGAACAGCAGGATAATCCGTAGTCAAATTTTATTTCAGGACGTACTGTACAAAGTAAACCGATTGTATCGTTGAACAATTCTATTTTAAAGCCAGTGGGATTAAGTTTAAATGATAACGATAGTTTGAAAACACCAACTGCTTTTGGTAATACCGATGTAACTTTAAAAACTCCTACTGTCCTGGGTTCACCCACTAAAGGCCCGTTATCAGCTGGTGCTCATGTCGATGAACTGACTACTCCTAAACTAAACTTGAATAACTTTTCAACTCCGTGTACCCAGGCACAGGCTTTCTTTGGTGAGCACGAACCACTTCTAACCGGTATCTTTTTGGAGCCTCTACTGAAGAATTAACGCTAACAATTAATTTTTTCCAGCATTTCTATCGAAATCAATTTTCCAATTTTATTTCAAAAATCAACTCTTTACTGTTGCGTCGACATTTTTGTTTTCCAGCTAACATTGAGATTTCAACCATTCTTCCACAGTCGTCAATTGCCAGTGTAGCACCAGGTACTTAATAAGCTTAAAATGCAAACTTTGATTTGTTCTGACCGTTGTCCCATATTTAGTTTGCTGTTCATTTATCTTTATTCCAGGTGTTACAGCAGTAGGGTCAAGTGGAACTCAAAGCGATATAAAGGATCAGAAGACGACTATAACCTTTAAAGGAAGTATCAGTACAAGTATAAGCACATTTGGTTCTCAAAACGTCAATTCCCCGGGTATGAAAACTTCATTTATCAAAATACAATTGTTCCGTTAGCAATTTGATTTTTATTAACGTAGGTTTGCCGCATTCGTTATTGCAGTTGAAATTATGAAATTTCTTTGTTATTTAACGTGCTTCAAAAATAAAAATTTCATATAGACACTTTTGAATGGATGCTTCTGCATTGCAGTTCTTAGGAATTATAGCAAAACGAAATGTATGTATATTTTTAGATAGAACCATGTCTTTTTTTACTGTGTATTTACCAGTGTTTCGTTTTTAAAATAATTCGAAACAGCTAGAACTTGCAAAAATTCCATCATTACAAGACATTTATAAAATTATTTCAGGTCTGAGTGCAACAATGTTTCAATTTTCTCCACTTGTTGAACATTTCTTGCAGTCGATCACTAAATCTCAACAGACAAATGCAAACTTGCCATTATTAGTTCTGGATCCAAATTCAAAGGCTCCTGCAGCGACTGATGCACCTGATTTATTCAGAGTAATCTCTTTCATATTTTTTAAAATAGACTTTAATTCAGACGATTTTAATGCAAAATGAAATTTTTAGATACTTCAAGAAAATAAGGATACGGGAAATGTGTCAGCTGCTGGTTTTCAGCAGCTACCTACCTCACAACTTTCAGTCTCTGCAGCATCAGGAGGTCATCAAGTCCTATCAGATTACATTCAGGTAAAGTGTTGGTAATGTTGTAATTGAGTGATAGAGTTTAGAGTATTAGAATAACTGGAGCTCATGAAGAAAGCCCATCTTTTGTATTCCACAGCACAGTCCATTTAATTTTATTAGATAGCTTGTTCAAGAGCTTACTTGAGTTAACATATCAATAAAGTCCACTGTAAATACAGCCGTTATAAAAGACAGTTTTAAATTGCTTGTCCTGAATATTTGCAGCATGAAGGCTAAAGTCTACTGCATGAACTTTATTAGTCTCTATAGAAGTGCATATAATATTTTGATAGGTTACATGTCTGCTTCCTTCTTATTTTGTATGCTATTTCAAAGTATTTTTTCGTTAAACTTTTTAAGATTTGAGTTAACACATCAATAAAGTTCACTGTAAATGGAGATTAACTTATTCGAAGTCAGTTTTGTATCAGTGCAGTTATAAATTTGTAAATAGACCAGTCGTGCTGGAATGCTTAATCGTACAACGCCTCCACCAGGGCCATCTGGTGTCAAGCACAGTGGATTCAGTTCCGCTGCTATTCCCAGTACTGTATGTGCCGGTACACACTGTACGCAGCAACAAGACACTAGAGTTAAACCTGTTCTTTCTGTTGTTGCTGGCGCTCCGGAAATGATTGGTGTATCACCTCAAATACATCAGCACAAATATCATGTTGGTTTTTATTAGTAAATAAATTTTGAGGAGAATTTAGTCTCTGCACTTGATCTTTTGACTTCAACTTGTTGATGAAGATTTAGGTTGAAATTACTGAAACAGTTCAAATTAGTATTACGCTAAATTTAGTTACCTAAAGATTTTCCTCTTGTTAGTGAGTTTCCCGAAACTAATTAACCGATAAACTTAATTGATTTATTTAATTTATTCCTCAGTTTTTGTAAGTCATAAATCTCATTTAGTAGAAAGCAACATTTTTATGGTATATATTGCGTTTTGAGCTGAATTTAGCATGAGGATAAATCTTGTGCTTACCAAATTTATCTTATTTCCAGATACATCAAAACATTACTTGTACTCTCAGTCCAGTAGAAACCGAGAGCAGTAACTCTAACTCAAATGTTGCGCAACGAACGTATCAGACATGCAATTTTCTGACATGCAATAGCCTACCATATCGAACGATTCAGAGTCAAACATCTTGCACTGAAACACCAAGCATATATCGGTTCGTCCGCTAAAACTCATCATTTCTGTTGAAAAAAATTATATTTTATTGATGTTTTAATTGTGTTGCCAAAAATGTTTTTTTCCAGATCAGATTTTGATCCAAAACCAGAGCCAACAGATGATTATTATCAGAGACCTGTATCTTTTGTTCAGTCTGGATCGCAATTTGAACAAAGTGAGTATTTAAATTCTGTTGATAACGAAAAACGGGAAATCATTTCCAAATCTAGAAGGAGTATCACTGATTTATGTTATCTTTTTTGATAATGATCATGTTTGTTCTCAGTATTTTAGTTTCTTACAAACAAAATATGAAATTTTAGCATTTGTCAATTTTTCAGCTACTTCCACAAAAAGTCGAAAATGTTCGAATCGTCTAACAAAACCATTATCGCAAGAGCGACCTTATAAATGTCCTATTGAGAACTGTGATCGGCGTTTTTCTAGATCAGATGAGTTAACACGTCACATCAGGATACATACTGGACAGAAGCCTTTCCAAGTGAGGTTCAGTCAGTTTCATAAGTTACATTTCTGAATTTTCAGGACAGATTTATGAATATGAATGGAAAAGCAAGTTGTAGAAAACATTCCTTTGTTTTTTACTATTTCAATAAATTGTTTTCAAAATCTTTAAGGTTATTAGACGCTGATGGTTGCTTATTTTTCAGTATATTTTAATGTTTTTGTATATTTATGGAAAATTGGAAGCGTTTTTCAATACTTTTTATGTCAATTCTCTGAAAATCAGAGGCTGTCAAGATATTCTGAAGCAGGGAAAATAGTTTTTAATTTCAGTGCCGCATTTGTATGAGAGCATTTTCACGTAGTGATCACTTGACAACACATGTTCGAACTCACACAGGTGAAAAGCCATTTAGCTGTGATGTGTGTGGAAGGAAATTCGCTCGCTCCGATGAGCGTAAGCGACACACAAAAGTGCATGCGAAGCAAAAGGTAAAAATGTAAATCGAATAATATGCTTTCTAGATTTGGTTCTTATCTTTGCTTTCCTAGTAACAAGTATCATTTTGCAATATCTGAATTTTGCAAGATATCGAACATGTTTACATTTAATACAAATATAGTTCAGGGAAGAGCTCATCAACTCTTCTAGACCATGAGGGTTTTTTTTTTTTTTTTACTTGATAAGCATTTAATATATGTTCGCGTAAAAACATTGATATTCAGTACTTTATCTTCTGAAGGGTAAAAAAATCTTTTAGGATCATCGGCATATCAACGTTAGTGGCTTTAATGGTAATGGTGATTTCAAGTTGCAGATGTAAATCGAACGCTAAGGTTTTTGTAATAACTTGCTCTCCAGATTCTAGTCTTGTATGATTATCTCATATTTTCTTGCTCATTCACTAATATTCACGTGTTGACGCGACCCTTTCTTCAGTAAATCATTCTTTAAAATATTTAAAATTCGTTGAAGTGTTTATGTACGTAAACTTTTAGATGAGTTTTTCCTTTTCTTTTTGGGAGGTATATTTGTATTAAAAAATGGGGAAATTCCTGCTTTACTCATGCGAAAGTTTAAAGAATTAAAGACTTTCAGGGCTACATGTTGTGTATAAATGAGACCATTATCAATTTTGTTGTGATATTGCTGTTGTAATTTGGACTTTGAATTTATAAACTGATAAAGGATGTAAATTTCATCAATTATCTGAATGTCTAGTACTATAAGTTGTTACTAAAATGGTAATAAAGTGTTCATTAATGTCAATTTTTTGCCTCATTGATGATGCTGTTATTTACGTTGAACAAGAGTATTTGTTGATGGCAATTTCCGAGAACCGTTATACTTTCGTCTGCTTGACCACTGAATGAAGTTAATTTACTTCGGTATTAAAGCGACTGAATCTTCATAACAAAGAAGAGATGGCCGATTGGAGGTCAAAATCCTATTTTCACATACCATTTATCGTGAATTAGATCTCTAAGTAGAGTGTTTTAGAACACAATACGCATATAAAAAATAAAAACGATACAATCTATTACTTAATGAGATCCATCATTCCCCCAAAAATGTCTCTAGTTGCGAAGTACTTTGCAATACTTGAAGGCATACGGCAAGATTAATGGCTATTTTTGCGATCAATAGTGTCATCTTTACACAAAAAATTGGGAATGTAGTCGAGATTAAAATGGAAATAATTGTTTTTGGTGTTTTAATTTGTACAATGTGAATACCTAGCTTTGCTGAGATGCCTAAACCAAACTAAAAAAATCAAAGTTTTTTAAGACAGAAATGACAATAAGTCACAACTTTTCATTATGACCGAAAAAAGACATATATAAACAAAGTGTGAGAAGCATGTTCAAACATTATTTACAAAACAGTAAGATAGAAATAGTACTTCCATGCAAAGAATTTCATCCATTTATATGAATTACATTGCCTTCTGAAAAAAAGAAACCCACACTATGCATGTATGTGTGTGAAATGTGGAATGTTCTGAAAATAAGTTAACAAAACCAACTAATCATACTAGTAATTGTTAGGTTGAGAGACCTCATACTATTGCATATTTAGAGAACAAAGCACTGAACAAAACTTGATAGGAAATTTCACTGAGTAGTGGAGTCGACTTTAATCTTTTTCTCTGAATTTTCCATTGAATCTACAGTGAGGGTTTCACTTTTCTGCAAGCCATTGACATTCTCCATTACTTCGGATTCCTTTGAAATTTTTGAAGCCGTGTGATGAGGCTCCTGAGAAGTGACACTTGTCTGGTTCATCAAGCGATTCTTGTAATAAACTTCTGTCGACTGGATTTGCCCTTCAAATTAGGATTATAAATAAGCAGTGCCCAGAAATTCATATCTAATCAGCAGAAGATTAATTATTACCAGTTTTTAAATCAAATGATCGGCCTTTAATGTTTTGCACGCCTTTACCCATCGGCGAAAGCCAGTTGACCAATGAACTCATCAGTGGAATCTGTCTTATTACGCCCTGCAAAAATAATTATGCATACTTTCAAGTACCGTAGGTCTAGGTAGGAAATTAACTAATTCTAAACAGGAATTTATCACACAGCGGGTTCCTTTTTTTCAGACGTGTGAATTTTTTTTAAATTCAAGTTGTATCACTTCTTGCAAAAGTCGAGCGTCATTTTCCCGTCTCAAATCTTCGCTCGCAGTCTCGATTCCTTCACGAATCATTTCAGCCAAACTATCCATATACTGTAATTTGAACATTAAATTTGAACAAATGAAACATAATGACTGATTAAGAAGTTTAAGCGTGATGATTTTACCTGTTGGGAATGTTCGATTTCTTCTCCACGCTCAGAAACCAAGAAAACAAGATCAGCAAGATCTTTATCATCAGAAAGCATACCAAATTTAACACACGATATATGATGCACAGCACTTTCACCAGCAGAAAACGCATTATCTACCAACCGTAAAGAACGCACCAGTTCCAAATTCAAATAAGATACCTTCAAAACGGAAAACAAGAGTTACGTCTTATTCCGCCAATCAAAGCATAATTTACATTAAAAAAACCTGATAAACCAGAAAATGAACTAGTTCATAGTGCAAATAAAGATGACCTGTTGACGCTGCTTTTCATTCCAGTCATTCATTGGAGTTTCTTTGACAATAGATGGTACGTAACTAAAAATGTGCTTTTATCAAAGTAACATAAGGTCAAGATAAAAATATCTTCTAAAAATCATGCAAAGTATGAGAAAAATCTCGGATTTTTTAATTAAACACTTGGCTAATTGAAATATATAAATATATGGTTTAATTACCCAAGTATGAGGTAATCGTGGACAATACACTGTGGTGCCTGATCTTGGAAGAAACAGAGTATTTCATCGTTATTTGCGATTTCTATCCCCTTCTTGTTCTACCTTCATCCCTTTATCTGTTATAGCGATGTCATGAGCCGACTATGGAAGTAAATTACCAATGCGATCACTTGCAACAACAAACGTAATGGTACTGACAGTCAAAGACGCCAGAACGATAGAAAATAGCAGTAATACGACAGAACATTCCAGCAATCAATTAAATCAGTTATCTAAATGATTGGGAATGCTTTACTGAGGCTTCCATATCGCAGGTGATTTCCAAGAATCGAAAAGAAGTAATGGATTATAATGATAAATGCTCAAGCAGCAATCCCTTGTTGCAGTATTTCTGAAGAAATGAAGAAGATAAAGAAGAAAGATATGTATGAGATGAACGGAGAGGAAGAAAAGAATGGTGTCTGCAGAATGTAGATCTGGAGTTAGCAGTCTGAAAAGAAAATTGGGGACGAAAGGAGAAAACAGCATCTGGAATCATGATAGAAAACAATAAGAAAACAGATGAGGTTGTGAAAAGCTCCGAAAATGATGTGAGAAAGCACTTCGCCAGTATACCGGAATCAGGTGAATGATTACGCTTGAAGTACTCCTTTCAGTAATCGAGGTTATGCAAAGCAGCTGACTAGACAACGTTCTGAAGGCGGTTCTTCGGAAGGACGTTTTGATGGAAATGGCCTTTGTGCCATTCCTTGCATTGTGAAAAGTATGCGCGATTACCCTCCAAGAACTAAAGAAACAAGCGAATTTTGAGATCACTAGTATTGCCGATTTATCCATGTTTGCTGAAATGGTTCTTGGAGTAAAGAATCTATGAAACGTGTCGAAACACAAGATACTTAATTCGAACAAAATAAGTTACATAAGTCTAAGGTTTATCTGGACATAAAGCACGAATATCCCGTACTGATGCAAGAGACCCGAGAACGTGAGAAGTCTGGCCAGGAAAAGTGGACATAGGCTGGCAATACGACCGAAAAACGTTGGTTTGCTTATACTTGGGATGGTAAATCAAGAAGCAGATGAATATGCCACACAGAATCCTCAAAATATTGCAAGACAGCTCAGGTAGCACAGCAATGCTTTGAAGATATGACAAGGCGAGAGCAGAAGGCATTCAGGGTAGAAAGCAAGCATAGAAAAGAAGATAATCTTGAATAACTACCATTAAACCCTAACATAGCGGTGCTTGGCCAGTAAAACACTTGATAAGGAAGGCCGAGAAGTGTATGAGGAGCATGAATCTCATACTTGCTCTTTAATGTGACTCTCATGAATCTTAAACATGCTGACAGAGCGCGTAAGATTTCACGAAAATAAAATTAAAAGTTGTGAGTCCCCATATGCATTCACAATCCAAAACGCTAGATTCAAGCTTTTTAGAAAGCGGTTCTAAAGGAAACTGACCAAAGAACACCGTTAGCCATAATGTGGGGGTAGAGAAAATCATGTAGTTCTAGGCCACCATAATGAAGAAAATCCTTGGTAAAGAAAAGTCATGTACTCACTGAATCCTATAAAAAATGACTAACCAGACAGCTCCGACACCAGCCCATTTGCGAACCGGTACTAACGTTAACGATGGATACTTCGCTACAATAGCAGCAAAACTTTTCTTGGCCGCAACTGTTGAATCAATGATAGTCAGTGCTTCCGATAACTGCTTTATAAACTTCTGTATATGATCAGTGTAAATATAATGCGCTGAAAATAAAAAGTATAAAATTAAGACACAAAGCTTCACACATTTTTTATTATATAAGATGATATTCTGTAAGTATTTGAAAAGAAATATCCGGCAGATATTCAGAATAAGAAAATATTTTACAGTTTGATTTGGTATCAAATAAAAATTAATTGATTGAATAACTGTTGCGACAATTTATGTTCTATCTTAGTCTTCAGGTACAAATGAATATTAAGCAATAACAGCTCTATATGCTAAAAAACAGCACACACCAGCAGCAAGTTCTAAGGGGCAGAAACGAAGTGCAGAGCCGTGGACATCATCCAGAGAAATTATTTGCAGACCGAGCTCTTGGTTATCTGATATTAGTCCTTGACCAAACTGGAATACATCAAATACCAGAACAAGAAGATTTTTGAGGAGACAATAAATTCTCTTTGAAAATATTTTGTTACTTAAATTTATGCAGATTTAATCACTGAATCCAGTCAAAACTTTGCAAGTTTTGGGCTTAATACTAATCAGCTATGGATTAAAAATTCACCCAATAATTCAACGAATCAGCGTACTCTGCTACTGAATGCAAATCATCTTTAGAAACAGTTGAAGAATCGTTCATTAATATGTCGGCATTGTCTGCTGTCAAATCATGACTGTCTAACATAGTATGCGAGGAGACTTTTTGATCAGCTGCTATGGCAGACGTTTTCTGTAGCTCATTAATAAATATTTCATATTCTTATTGATATATAGAGGAAAAGATATTATGAAAAAGCCAATTGTTGAGTGAAAGATCTAGTACATTGCTGGTGCTTTTCACGGAATCAATTTAAGTTTCACTGCCATGATTTAAGTTAGTTCATTAGTCAGAACTTTTCAGAATTATATTTCTTCAACAAATAAATGAAAGCAATACTGTTGAGCATCTCGGAAACCAACTTTTATAGCTTCTTCCAATTCAGGATATTTGTATTTGAAAACAAGGACAGTAAGAGGTGCGTAAACGCCTTTGTAAACGCGATTTGCAAATTCGGCTGGATCTTCAACACCAAAAATCTCAATTTGGGGAAAAGCCGATAGACTTCGGAGCATCACTTTACTCTGTAAAATAGGAAAAAATTTTATTTATTAACTTGGCGTGGTTGATGAAACAGTTATATACAATAAAAAAGATAGAGCAAGTGATAAAAAATGTGAAAGTGTTTATAAAACTAATTCCAACTAAGAAATATGCGTTCTCGATTCTTTTAGTCATTTTGGAGATCGTAAAATACTGGCATGTAATCCACCACGGCAAAGTATCTAGTTTTTGATGAAACGATGGTTTATGATTTTCTACAGATCGATACAAGGTCTGAAAATGAAGTATGAAATTTCAAAAATGTAAATTTTACTAGTTTAAAACAAGAAACATAACAACTTCACTCATAACAGATGCTTCTTCATAAATTCTTCATAAATGAGATAATGTATTCCAGGACAGCAGAAAATACCAAAAGTGTTATATTGTGGTTAATTGATTCCAAAATTTGTTTAAAATACTCACAATTACAGGAACTACAGGTGGTGTACCAATCCAAAGCGAGAGTGAAACTGTAAGACTATCGACTTGTGATAAAACATTTACAAGCAGTTTGGACGGCTCTTTTAAGCACAGAGCAGATAAACCCTACAAAATGCACATTTCAAGAAAGAAAAATAACTTTTTTAGAGGAGTTTAAGAAGTAATGAACCTGTCCAACGACATGAACCCAATAATTGTCGCTTGATTTTCTTATTTCCAGTAAACGACTTATGATATCATTTTGTCCGAAAATTGGAGATCCAACAACACCGATAACTATTAACGGTTTTTTTCCAGCCGCAATGTCGCTATCTAGTTGCTTTTGAAATGCAGCGTGATCCTGAACAAATTAAGCACATAAAAATGCTTTGCAAGAGCTAGGAAATGCACTAAAAAAGCTATCACAAATCTTTTTTTATCAAGAAAAATAATTGTACCAAAGTTTGTTTTAATACATTGGTTCATTCTCAAGAGTTTGAAAATTTTTTGCATAAAACGATGAATTACTCAATACGTGTTCTTTTTTCAAGTATTCAGATATTTTATAACAGGCATGAGCTTGAAGTACAATGAAGAATTAAACGGAATTAAGATTTCATACAATGCGGCCTTCGATGTTAGCAAGATTTCCATCGGATTTTTTCAAGACAATCACGTCACCAATCATGAATTCTTTCGTGAGATATGAAACAAGGTCAATATTCAGTGCTGGTGAGACATAGACCACCGGAGCACCCTTGAAAATACTTATTTAAATAATACAGGATTTTCGATATTGTGAAGACAGTAAATGAAATTTACCATTTCTATAAATGCATGCCATCCTTTAGAGATGTAACTCAAACCATATCTATCTAATAAAGCAAGACGAACCGCATAACCTGAAGATTACCATTCTTTACAAAAGAAAATAAAATTCAATTAATATTTGGCCATAAAATTTTATTGAACAAGCTGAAGAAAATGAATTATTGCATTTTTTGTGACTAGTATGCAAAGTAATTGCATATCAATTGGTTTGGTCTGTTAAGCAGAAACGAAAACATGTTTGACTCTATTAATTCAATGAAAAAAAATTCGTGGAAAAAAAAGCTATAAGCATATTAGTATGTTGTGTAGGAACTGAAAAGGCACAAATATAACGAACCAATTCCTGCTTTGATGGAATCAGAAGACGTCAAATCGAATTCAGAGCAATAGATGCCGTAGTTGGCTGTCCGAAACAATGTGTTAAGCATTTTCGTTGTGTTGCCATAAAGCAAAGAAGCTATGCACTGCTTATGATGACTTCTAAGAAGTTTAATATAATTTTTCACAGCTGAACAGCTGACCAGAGCACATCCCAAGTCCGATAAACATAAACTGTAAAGACAATCCCCAAAATCATTCGTGAAAACGAGTAAGAATAATGCCAGAGATGAAAGAACACGTGGGATGTTTTTTTGGGTACGCTTTAAGACTTAATTAAATCTTCAAGGTCAACCAATGCTTCAGTGAAAAAGTTTTTACGACACTCATTATAGCTGCTAGCAATGCTTCGCATAAAAATGAATAAAATAAATCTGGACCAACTTTTTCCTGTCAGAATTTGGAACTGGTGATTGCGACTGCCCATTATCATCATTGCCAATCTCTTTATCAATCCAATCATCTGTTGTAATCAGATGCTCTAAATCTTTCAGAATTTTGTTAACTTCTGCCCCTCCAACGCTACTGCTGTTACTATTACTACAACCGCTACCAGTACCGCTACCACTACCGCTGCTGCTACTCGATAATTTTCGGGTTGTTTTCTTCGAATCTACAGTATTGCTCGAATTCTGAACAAAAATGAACGAAATGAAAATTAGTCCGAATTCTATAGAACATTGCCTAAATCTAAGGCACCCCATGAAGAGGAATGTGGAATAACATTGTGGAATATCAGATACATACTTACATTCTTAACAGGAACATTAGCAAGTCTTTCAAGAACAGACAATCCAATAAGCCCATTGTTATCATCGTATGAGGGTAACTTTGTGAAATCACCATTGCTGATGTGGCGAGTATTCAGATTACGTCCAGAAATGAAGGTGCTAAAAGCACATCACAATACATCTTGCTTTATTATATTAAGTTTGAAAGTATTTAATGTTTTCTCGAATTTGTGCCATTTACGTCAATCATAAAAGCAATATCAAAAGCGGTTCAAAAATTTAGAAATTATCGAGACGAAAAATGGATGTGAAGGATATAGTAACTTTTTACAGATATCAAACTTATCCTAAAAACTGCCATTTTTAACCTGGCTTATGACTAATATTTGTGCTGTACAAAGTATTTGAATCTTAATGCAACATAAAAAGTTATCAATTGATTCTTTACAATTCTCCCTCAGCAACAAAGTTTGAATTACCAAGTAGTTCAATTTGTATTTTATGTTTTTGTGTGTGCGACATGGTACAAAAAGCGCAAAAGTTTACACAGATTTGGTAATTCATGCTCATTTTGAAAACAATTTAGATAAACATATTTATCATACAAATTGGTGAAGTCTGCCCGCTAATTTTCACTATTTATGACTTGAAGGTCACTAAAATGATGAACAGGTTTTGTGAACTTAAAGATACATACACACATTGACGTACCACAAATATCCACGGCTTCTTCTGAATGCCATAGTTCTAAGCGTTGCGACATAATTTCAACTCTTTTTTTCGATTTTAGAAGACTTTGAATATAATAACGATATCTGCATTTTGATTTTAATTTAACTTTCAAAATGTCATAGTATAGTCTTTTTTTCGCATTTGGTACATAAACCCTAATTAATTTTTTTTTAAAATATTGCTTAATTATCAAAAATTATTTACGAAAATTAGTATGACCTAAAGGGAAGAGGACAGTCCACAAAAAGAAAAGTTTTGGTAAGAATATCGTAGCTAAAATAAGGCGTCATGAATGTTTGAAGAAAGCGAACAACAAAAATATTGTCGAAAATTCGTTATTGATTAGATTGATTTTGGTTTCAATGTGCATGCATTCGTTTGTCTGTTAAAATTTGCTTTCAACAAGGCTTAATGCATATGGCGGCTCATAAATTACGTAGCAAAAAACAGACTGATAAGAAAAGAAGCAAATCCGAGCAGAATGTCAAGATGAGTTGATTATACTGAAAACAAAGAACAACAATACACCATCAGAAGGGCTAAAAATAACAGTTATTGTCAACTGGCATCACACTTAGTATGACATTCGATTCGACTGACTTTTACTACTCTTTTCTGAGCAATCAAATATTTGAAAAGATATATGATATACGTTGCTCATATCACATATAAATGAAAGCCTTAGCAAGCTACGTATAAATATGTTCAGGAAATTGGCTGTAAAATAGTTAAACATGTATTAGAAAATATATAGACATCAAGTGCATATTTAAGGAATAGTGAAAATAAGACATAAAAGAATGGGAACCGAAAAAAAAATTCCCAAATGTAAACAATCTGATGCACGAACAATTTCTTAAAACTGAAAAAAATGTTAAAAAAATAGTTTGAAAGATGCGACAACCTTTAGCTTTCTTAATGGCTTGTTATTTCACTTACAAATAGAAGGAAAAGCTTGAAATCTTTAAAAAATATCAAATTACGCAATTCGTAAAGGTTACTTTTTATTCTAATGTGCCGACTGCGAATAAAAAGTACACTTTTTTTGCCATTTTCACACAGTGTAAGTTCATGAAGTTTTTAATTAGAAAAATAATCAATGATTAGATGCAGTCAATTTTAAAATAGGAATATAGACTAGTACTAAAAAATTCTTTTTGAATTACAAGCTAATGACTAAAGAAGAAATATAGAAAAGGGCTCAAGAATAAGATTATGCGCATTTTACCTGCATTATAATATGTTAACGAGAAAAATATAACTGATTTCTTTTAAATATAAAACGATGATCATTATACGATAATAAAACGACCTTAATTATTCGCATATCCATATTCAATTTCAGAGCAACTTTCTTTTCTTGCTTTTTTGAGAGATAGATATTAAAGGTCTGAGTTGAAAGCATTATAAAATGGAAAATTTCAAGCTTTCTGTAAGAAACAAAAGTGATGTACTCTAACACCTGGAAATATTTCGGAGAAAATGCTAGGCAATTCAAAAACCCAAAAAGTAAAAACATAACTCATAGCAGAAATTCAAAGCCAGTAACTAATAACTGAAAATAAACAAACTTTTCTATGTTGTTAATCATTTTACGCGCAACACTCATTGTTTTATTCACTTCTGAGCTCACTGCCATTTAGATAGATCCACTGTTCGGTTGCAGTCCAATTTCCAGCGTTTTATAGAGTGTTTATCGGTCGTATGAATATCACCACATGCAAATTCAGTCTTTTATAGTTGCAAAATGAACCAAATAATAGGTAATAATTACAACGTTTGCGTCAATAAATTCGTGACAATACAACGGATAAATTTATTACTCTCGATATTTCTAGAACTTTCATTGACAGTATTACTACATTACCATGCATAGTGCAGTGTAAGCAAAAAAACAAACAAATTTATGTGAACATTTTATTATTATTCTTACTTGCTTTCAAAATGATACAATGATTTAAATAGTAAATTTGTTCAAAACAGCTATAGATTAGACAATGATAAGAATGGCAATTTCAAACAAACCATAGAGTTTTTGAAGCAGATAATTGGTGCTAGGTAAGAAAAATAAGCTTTACATAGATTTCATTAACAAGCTTAATTTTTTGTCTCTTTTGCAGTCTGCTATGCTCCCAAGTGAATATTAATTTTCCGAAATAACTATAAGTTCTACAAGAAAATAGGCATTAAATGAATCATTAAATAAATAGGCCATAAAAAGGAATTGAAAGAAATACACTCACTACAATAAGTTGATTTTAAAAGTATAAACTTACCTTTCTAATTAATTCTTTTAGCCAGTAAAATCATTTTCAGTCCTCAAAGTATGCTTTCAAGAAAATATCTAACGCACTCTTCCTACTTCTACTAAATTCCGTTTTGTTTTTATGCTCTCATTATTTGAAATATTTAATTTCGAAGAAGGAATAGAAAAAATGCTAAAAAGAAGAGGGAATATATCACTAATTACAAACCAAATAATCCAACCAAACTTATTCGTTCCTGCATTATTTACTCAGTACAACAATTTGTCTATGGTTTTATTCAACAATTTACCAGCATTAACATCATTTCGATAACATTTATAAGAAGGGCCGATCAATCAGTGCCACTCCCAACAACTATTCACAAAGTACTACCATTTTCCATCGATTCCTTTGCAAATATTAAAACTAACTGAGTTTCGCATATTTCCCACATTCCACGTGTTAAATTCGCCTTATGAAATTTTCATATCAACCAAATGGTCTCAATCACTCTACTTTGTGGCACTAAAAAATTTGCATATTCACTAATCGTTATAAATTAGAAAGAAGACAGACACCTTGTACTTTTTGTTTTTTCGTTTTCTTGCCTATATGTTTTTGCTTTAAAATGACTTCAGTTTCTTTTTTTGGACAATAAATTTGAATATTTTGTCGTATGACCCATGAAACAGAATCAGCAACACAATTTATACATATGTTTAGAAAACTATTGGACTAGAATTTGTTGTGAAAGCTTCATATTATTCCGGATAAGAATTTACAAAAAATATGGTGTAGTTGACTAATGCACATTTTTACTATCTTTAATAGTGCAAGCAATTCATTTAACAACCGATTAATGTGCATTAAGGGATAAAAGTGAAGAATGTTTTAGTACCCACAGCTTACTTTTGATCTTTTGATATAAGACTAGTAAGCATTTTTGAATAAGTTTGAAACTGTTTTGAAACAGATGAGATAATAAACGTACCTAATTCCACGATAAAATATACAATGAAGCTTTACCATGCTAAATATAAGCATATGCATGTTTTGCATGAACCGTCAACTGAGGAACGACACTGCACCGAAAGAGATAATTGAAGATGCATAAAAAGTGAAATATTAATGATGATTCACGAGAAAGAAGAAATGAAATATAACTTCTCAGTGTGATTTAGAAAGACGAGTGGCTTTAAAGCGATGAACAATATATTTCTGGATATCAAGTACAGAATTAAATCAATGAAAAATAGACTTGACTGAAAGACAATACATTTCTACATCAGTAATGCTAAAAAACTGAAAAATGAAAAGAATCTTTCATATGATTTGTTGTGAAGTATACAATCACTATTTTTTTGATTACTTAATTTTTATCAGCTTCTAATTTGTTGAGCTAACATTCAACTGATAAAACGAATAAAACTAGTTTTAAAAACAATTATTGAATAACTAAGTTGTTGTATTTTAACAGTAGTTAAACCTTATTTATTCAATTTATGCCTTCCTTTTTACAATTACTTACGTATTTCTAACAAAGGGATCAAAAATTTGTTTTCTGAAGGTGATGCAGGTTCCCATAACTTCTAGGAAATAAACTTTGTGTAATTAAGGTTATAATTTAAAAACAATGGCTTGCAACAACAACGTTAATCATAAAATCAAAATTATTACCAAAAGATAAGCAAAATACCGACTGTTCATAAAGCAAAAATAAGCTTCAAAAAAGAGTAATGAAATAGTAATATTTAGGTACGGGTTTCATCTTCTGAAATTTTCCGAATAAAAAATTTATTAGTTAAAAATAATATTCTTTGAGGGATAAAAAGTGAAAGACTAGAAACTGATAAACAGTGGTCTGAAAAAGTTTTTTCGTTCCTTTTTTATCATTGTTTATGGTATTTTAGATTAATAAACTATCAAATTTGAATATCTAAACTAAACTACCAAATCTGAATGTTAGCACAGATGCAGGCCATAAAATGAAGTACAGCTCTTGTACAAGATATTATCTTAAAAACTATTACGGATATTGAAATCAGAATGTCAAAAAATGATAGAGAGGAACACCGAAACTGTAATATCGATATTACTAGTCGCATTTTAATTTCTACTTTGCTAGCTGAATGAATTATCCCTTGATATCAAAAAATAAAGAAGGTAGTAAACAACTGGAATTCTGAGACTCCAAAAATGGCTTAAAATTTATGAAAAAATTTGAAACAGATGAAAGGATTGAAGAACCAATTTTAGAAGGATTTTATTGCTTGAACATTTTTATTGTTAGTAACTTACCAAGAATACAACCGAACAAATTTTTTTCAAAAAATGCATAGTCAGATCCTTCGTGCAAAACAATTGTCATTAGTCTAACTGTGACCATGACGATGTGGTATAGGCGCTAATGATGATCATTGGCACTCATACTACACGACGAATGTCGTTGATCATTGACAAGGACATAAATCCATAACAGAGTAACTTGAAAATCATTGTAAGACAGTATTCTCGACTTTTATCTCGAAATTATATCTGCTAAAAGCGATAACATCACGAGTCTGTAAACAATTTTATCTTAACTTCATTGTTCCTATGATGATAATAATAACAATCATATATAAATGTACTAATAATAATCAGATGTGAATGTATTAACAACTGGAAAGAGCAAGTTTCTAACACAAAAGTCGATTTGGTGAATTGAATACCAGTAGATACTAAATTTTTGTCCCTAAGATGAACTGACAAAAGTGAAAAATATGTCAATAGGAAGGACAAAATAGGTTGTTACACAGTGCACGTTATGTTCGTTCTGTTACAAGCGTGATTTCTGCGTCAGCAAAACAAATGAGCAAGCATGCATCATTCACGCCACAACATAGGAATGTCTGTAAAAAGCACCACTTTACAATGCGGTTGTTCGTTTCTATTTCGTTCACACTTTTGTGGACAAAATGTTTCAAATATATTCACTGCCGCATTGTATCACAAGCAATTTAAACCCTCATTTTCTGGATAATTTTGGTGAAAATAATACACATGCATGTCATATCTCCAATCGCTTTTCTCGACAGAGCTTGTGGATTTGACAACCTAGCGTTCTGATAACCTAGATTTGATAACCTAGTGTTAGGAAAAACAATGATGAAGATAGCACTACTTCACTTTGGCGACAAAACACTATCCACATGAACAAATTTCTCACTCTCAAATTATTTCTGACATAATTCCATTATTTGAATGCTAGATGAGATTGAGCTTTTTTTTGGCTGATACTTAATGCTTGTACCCTCATTTTAAATTAGTGAACAAAGCATAAGATACTGATCGAATAGTTTCAGAAAATTAATTCTGTACTATTTTTGCAACTTTGAATACTGCGAATTGACATTAATTTATTTCCTTCATTCCCAGCTCATTTGTTTAAATACTGAATGCAGAAAAACAAAAATGAATAAAAACATAATTTACACAGCACCTGGAGTGCAAATTTTCACAGCTCTTGAGACCATGATTCATTGCTTATGATGTACTTGTCTTGCTGCGAAGTTTATTTCACTTACTATAATCTATTTGAAAAATAAATTACTTTTTTCAGATACATTTTAGATACATATACAGCATTACGCACATGCGCATATCAGATTTGCATACAAACACTTTCTGATATATATATATTTACTTCAGCCTTGTCCACGGCAAATTTGTTTTCGATTTTTAATTTGTTCTAATTTTTCGGTTTGCAAATCAATAAAAAATATACATGATCAAGAAAATTTATGCGAAAAAAATTTCAGTTTTGTCAAAGATACAATAATGTCATTTTTTTACATCATCACATTCGATACATTGCACTGCACAGAAGGTACGAATGAAAGTAGATGTGAAGAAAATGGATTATTGTAATATAAAATTACTACAATGGCTATAATGAATATTTTTTTTGGTGAATAAAATTTTAAAAAATGACAAGTGCAATATTTGTAACAAAAAAAATCTTGGTGAAAACTAACAGATGAATTGCAAAAATGAAATGATATATAGCTAAAGGGAAATAAACAAATAAACCCAAAAAAAGAAGCAGTTTTCAAATTGTTGAAGCAATTAAAATTTTTACAGATCTTTAGGAGGAAAAATAAAACCGTGGAAAATCGGAAAGGAATGTGGCAGCGTCTGAAAAAAATTTCATCCAATGTAGCCCATTTGTTACCAATAACAGTTAGATCTAACAGAATAAAAAAATTTGCTGCATGTGTCAAGACAAAAGACGCAGAAACTATCAATACTGCTAGTTGGATTTTAATTTCTACTTAGCTAGCTCGATAAAAAGATTCCTTAGCACAAATAAAAAAAGGTCGATAAAGGATAAGGGGGGGAAACTACAGAAAACAAATTTAGTTTCAATGATATAGAAGCTTATTGCAATAAATAGTAAAACGAGAAGAACAAGTATTGCTAATATTACATATGGTTCAATTTTTTAGAATTTTGGAAAAAATAATCTGAAAAATGTGTAGTTTGAGAACCAACAGGGAAAATACCAGCGAAAAATTCATTACTTCTCATGATCATTTAACTGCAATGATGTTTATATATTTAATGAACTAAATCGAATAAATACCAAGTTAACCTTAGACAAGAGAAAATACCTACCTATTCAATGGTTGACTTTAAAAGCACAGATTGTACACAAAGATACCAAAAATAACAAGTCCAGCTGATGAAAAAATGTTGGAAATGTACAGATCTCTCTATTGGTTCACTACACAGCAGACTTGCTGCAATAAATATAACTGAAAATAAAGTTGAAGACGTAAATCTAAGAGCAAACCAAAGTGAAATTAAGAAATGAAGAAGTTTATACCTTTGATGTTGTTAGCTGGTGGGTACACAGACATTGACAAATTTAATCTCATTAACTTTGAATAAATTTATCCTAAGATGCAGAAATAATTGGAATTAAAAAATCATCGCCATTAATCGCAGCTGACACATTTGTGATAACAAATCCTAAATCAATCAATTAAAACTAAGTAATTCAGAAGTTTATGAATAACTACTACTGAAAATATTTTGTGCAAAATAAGCGCAATCTCTCTTACACAAGTAAAGTGTACTCACGAGACAACATTAATAATGATAATGAAGATGAGTAAAGTATACATCACCAAAGACAAGCATCTAAAGAAACAATATAAATTAAAATGAGAAATAATCGAAAATATGATTACATATTGACAAAGATATAGAGATTACAGCTTCGCATTTACATTATAAATTAAATTTTCAAAAGTTTTCTGAAGATTTTACATTGAATTTCGTGTTCTATAATAATTGATTTCTAAGCCCGCAAGAACAGAAGAACCCACGTTGGAAACATAAAGTGATCGTCGAGGGAGCTACACGTTAAAAATGACAATCAACCGTATTTACGGAAGATGGTGCACCAGAACGATGAATATGAACACAAACCCAACCTCGTCCATTACGCTTGTGCCAAACACGCGTTTCTTGGGCTTGACGTGATCTCGCATCACCATTTCTACAAAACAATATATCTGCGTATATACTAAGCTCAGGAAATGATGTCATCTAGATATGACATGAAGTTGAAGAAAAAAAATGTGTGATTTATTCGCTCATTTCGAATATCAGGAGAATAAAATCTCAATTTTTAACATTACTTATCAATAAATTGCGTTAAACGAATATAAGCGATGCATGCACCCTCATCACCCATCAGATGTACGTTCGGATTGAGCAGCGTAGTGTGGATTTTTGACCCTCTTGTTCCACTATCTGAATTTGCTTCCAATTATCGCGCTGTTAAATTAGTATATTTCACATCACGTAACAAACAAAAATCAAAGAGAGTTTAAAATAAATAATAAAGATGATGAAACAAATAGACAATCAACAATGTAAAAATGATGGAATGCAATAATATTATACAAAATAAAAAGGATTGAGAAAAGATCAACGACAAAAAAAATTAGATGGCACGTAACATAAATGAAAAGACAAAAACGCACTATTGTCGAAGTAAAACTTATGAAAATCCATTCCTTCGATCAGATTACCCAAAGCTTCTGGTTCAAAACATGTCATTGATGGATCACAAAGCCTTCTGCAAATTTTCAAAGTATCAGAGTTCATAAAAAATCTATTTTCTAGATGTAGTGCAGTCTTAGCACTACAGTTCTGTCAATCATAATTTGATGCATAATAGAATGAAACACGTACCTCATAAATTCTTGCAGATTATTTCGCATTACACTAATCTGATTAACTTTTTGTTTAATATGAAATAAAAGGAAAGATTTTTGAAATGTACACAATAGATGAAATGGACGGAATAAATTCCAGGAAAATCAGAATTATACGTTATGTCTTCCATACTTTGCCTTACAAAAGAAAAACTTACGAGTAAGACTCGTAGTCTTTGCATGAAATAGCATCCAATAATTGTTGCGTTACGCGAACAATTTCTTGCTTCTGGACTGAAGAGATACAACAATTCAGTGCATTCATAATGAAGAATTTGAAACTAGAATTGTTAAAAAATCTCAAAAATTCAAATTATTTTTGTTAAACTTCAAAAAAAAAAAACCCAAAACAACATAACATGCATCTGGCAGCTAAAATGGTGGTTGGTTACGACTGAGAATTCACAGAAATAAAGACAGTAAAATAATACAAGCAGAAGGAATTAATTTGAAAATTATAGAGGCAACTTTTTTTGCAATTATAATGTAGAAAAAAACTTCTGAAAGGTAATAAGCAGGATAATAATCAGACTGTAGACAGATGCCACATCATTCCCTTCTCGTTCAAGTACAAATTCATGAAAGGACTGAAAAAACTCCTAATCTATTTAGAACAATTAGAGTAATAATCTGTATGGAAAGACTCTTTTCACATCACACATATTTATTATGCCTAACAAGTATAAAATTTTCTAGAGCAAAAACACAAGAAGTCACTTTCAGAATAATGATTTTGAATTTCAGCAAGATGGAAATTGGGATAAAAATTTTCGTCACATGCAAATTGTCTACCAAAATTAAATTTGCACGTCTACAAAATACATGAAAAAAAAAACTACTGAATAATGAAATACCTACTAGAAATTCTTATTTCAACTAGGGTAAAAACAAATTAGCAACTTAGCTTCGGAAAGTTTTTTGTTGCACGAAATTTCAAGCAGTTCTTAGAGAACTCAAAGTAAAAATTCAGCATAGCTAAAGCATCTCCACCTGATGAATTTCCTACTTGATCTAATCACAAAAAGAAGTATTTAGAAAATATTTAAAATGAAGAATGTCATTCTATACTATATAAGAACACTTATTAGTTCAGGACAATAACAAGGATGCTTGTGATAGAAGCTAAAAACCGCAGAAAATTTTCATTATTTTTAAAATTTTAACGACGGCAAATGACAGATACAAACAAGCAACAAGTTTACGTAGAAAACTAAATCTAAAAAATATGATCTGGGAGTATAAAAGCTAATCTGACCGCTGCTAGGGCTAATTTAAGATACACAGTTCTTAGAAATTTCCTTTAATACCAATTCCAAAGCTAGACGCTGACTAGAACATGTGTTATGTTTAATGCAGTTTCTATCATTTCAGTTGTTCAGTTGTGAGTAAAAATTTTTAGGAACAAACTAAAGAAGAAAATTTCTAATTCTAAGGTCTACTAGTATTGTCAGACTTTCTCTGTATTACTCCAAAATTTTTAACTAATATTGTTTCTGACTCGATTTAAGCAAAAATTTATATTTCTAAATGGAACTGCTTCTAACTCATTTTGAACAAAAGTGACAAAACTAGAATAAGTTGCACTGAATAAGAAACCAACTTTATCTCTTCACTAGGGCCTTCAAAACTTCACTTTTTTCTTATACTTACAAAAATATGCAGTTTTATAAAGAACAAAGATTGAATGAACAGGATGATGGAAATTAATTCAAAAATTGATCCTGAAGGCCACTTTTATTGATTTCTAGAATGTATTATTTTCATAAATTTGAACTCAGCAGTGTAGAATGTGAAAGTATGCTTAAATTATACCACGCTATGTGTCTCAGAAAACAACTATAACTTTAATTCTACAAACAATTAATAATTTCTTATCAGTGGCAATAAAAATCTTAGCTAATTTTAAATCTGATCAAAAGAAGAAGATTCAACTTTCAAAAGGAAAAACCAATTTTTAGAAGTTTACATCACTTGAATGTCGCTCCTCTATTCACTCGGCTACATAGCTAGCGCACTACTGTTATCACTGTTATCAGTTCAATCGTAGAATGAAAATTACAAATGTAAGACATACAACGGTTAAATATAATTCGATTCGTTACTACAATAAATATCCGTCAAACACGAAATCAAAGAAAACATAAAGAAAGCATTTCTGAGATCTAATTGAATTCAGTCATTAATAAGCAATAGATAGTAAAATAGAAGCAAGACATAAGGGTATTTTCTATTTTAAAAAAAGCACTATGCATTGAAAACTAGTCACTAAACAACCACTAATGCATTGAACAAATGTTTATGACATTTATCTATCATTCATATGCACTGACAACTGTGAACAGATTCTCAAATATTGAATTTAATGAAAATTAACGAAGTGAAATAATAAATATAAATATCACTACACTTAATGAATGAATATTAAGTTACTTGCTGAGTAGCAAGGAAGAAGTAGTAAAGATACATAATATAATGATAACAAAAAGAATGAACTAATCAAAAGTAGAAGTAATTAGAACAGATGAGTTAGAGCACTATGAAACGAGTATTAATGAATAGGGAAGAAAGCTGATGTAAATGAAAATGGAAAAAAATGCAAGGAAAGTTGAAAATATACTTCTTTAACAACGATGAAAATGTATTAACGAAAGACACATAAACATAGCTAATATTCAGCTATTGCTGAATGATAAAGTATCACTTATAACAGAAATGAAAAGATTTTTTAGAAATAGCTAATCAGAAAATATCACATTCTACACTATATTTTAATTTAAAAAGAAAAAGAAAAGATCTTGATGAATACTCTCAATAAGCATCTGATAAACAAATCGTGTAATGCGCAACAAATTTGAAAAAATTTGCAAGTATATTCGAGCTGACTTTTTTAAAATGTAACAATAATGGACAATTGTGAAAAATGAGGATCATTTTCCAACTAAACAAATCTGTTTCTTTTTTTTTTGAATTAAAAAAAAATTTGTGGGACAGGGATATACTAAAGAATAGCACGAAACAATTTCACTCATTTCTGCTCAAACAATGACTCTATCAGATCTTCTTTGAATAAACTTTTTTTTTTTGAAATACTGAAGAAAGACTAAACTGAAACTAAAATTGGATATTAGATTTCCTAACTAATCCGGATTCTTAAAATATGAAATGACGGATTGTGATTAATGCTTCTAATAGCAGTGAAAGCTACACTTTACTGCTGAACTGTAGCCTTTAATTTTTCTCATCCTTTCAAAAAAATTTTTCTATTTCTAATTTAAATAAATTTAATGAGAGATTACATATTTTGTCAGCAAAATGAATGCAAACTTATACGATATAGAAACCTGAAGAATTTGCGCTGCCTCATCATAACCACATGAGAAACAAAAATCTAAATCTAGCTCTTTTAAAAATATAAGAGGTCTCAAGAAAATATAATCCGTGGTTTCTTCTTCTAAGCTCCAAAAAAATATAACTTCTGCACTTGCATTATAAGTCTTCTAGATAGTCAATATTTCAGAAAATGAAGTTAAGAAACATGAAGGCATAATCACATCGAATGGAAGAAGACACAATCAAAGACAATATCTAGAATAAATTATTGACAAGATACGTTAGTTTGTTTACAAAGGAAAAAGTTTATTTACAACAATAGAAATAAAATGAAAGCAACAGTTCATTCTCTAAAAATTAGTGCATCAAGCATAAAATGGATAAATAATAAATGAAATAAAGCATGTTTTACAATTCAGAAGTAACACACTTCCTTATTTTATCTTGTGAAAGGTAAAGCACAACATGAGAGATTTGGGTGATGGTAAGTGGTCAAAACAGATATCGATAACGATTTTAACTTTATGGTTAAAGTGCACAAGCAACTAACAAGGTATTTAAAAAGGAAAAACTGATATAAAAGATAGATGAATAACGAGAAAAAAGATGATTTATGATTTAAGGAATGCATTTTACTTTACAGCTTAAGATAGAAACTTCGAAAGCTAAAAAATAAAAATTCAATTTATCAATAAGTCAAAGGTAAAACCACAATTTTTGTAGATAAAAACATAGTTGAAAACTCAAGCAATTAATCAGAATAAAGCACTAAATATATATTCATATATTTATAGGAGCGAACCTGGCAGTGGACTGCTTGTACTGCTGCTCATTCCAGCCGCCTTTTGCTGCTGCTTAAGGGCCGTGTCCACTCGTACAACCGTGTTCTCGTGGCTCAGCGTCTTTCCCGCTGTGACAGACAAAGACATTCAATTTTCTCAAGCAGAAAAAAAAAACTGAAACAACAGTCACTCACTCCGCTTTCTTCTATTTATTGTTGCCCTTCCTGCCCTCCTTTCACCTACGTAACAGACTTAGTACTTTTTATTTCGATCAACGTTCTTGCCTATTGCACATTTGCAAATTCTATTTTTCAATATATCATTATGGCTAAGACAACAAAATGACCATTTACCGTTCATAGAGCAACTTTTAAGATCTCAATGCACGGAAAATCAACGCCTTCGTTAATGACAGACTAGTAAATAAAATCTTTTTTGATGCATAAAAATTTTCTTTCAGTAGGAATTACAGATGCAAACCAATTTTTTCTGATGGGTTGTAGTTATTCTTTAGAATAACTGTTTGAGTTTTCAATGCTATATGATCAGTTAAGAAAACTTCATTTAATTAAAAAGCATGATAAATACTGATTTAAAAAGAATTACTTAAATTTACAGAAATCTGAATCCAGAATTAGCTGAAAAAAACTGAAAGGCTACAAAAATTGAAGCTTAGCTAACGTAAGTTTTGCATTCCGAACCCACATATTTCTAATCGAAATCCGATAACATTCGAAACCAAATGTCTTGTTTTCGTTTGAAATGCTCGAGTCAAAAAAGTTTAGGAAGATTTAAGGAAATCGGCATGATTTTAAACCCAAATACCTTTTTTTTTAATTTTTTAAAATAAATATGATTATAACATATTTGGAAATGCAAAATCTTCAATGTGAAACATAGGAGTGAAACACGAGAATGGAAAGAAATATTTGACTTTAACAAAATTAGCAAATAAGAAGAGGTGAAACACGGAAACTAAACTGACAGAAAAGAAGAACAGAGGAATACGAAATTGCGCATTTACTCAATCTCATGCAAAAATTATGATTACACTTTGGATGTGCCGATAAAAGTTATTCTCAGAGTAATCTGAAAGATTATAGGACAAATAAGAGCAACATAATGTTGGCATGACCGATGCAGATCTGCAATTGAACTGGATGTTGAACTAAAATAAATTATTAAAATTTCCCAGAGTATTTAGGAAACAAATGTGTGCTGAAAAAGGTTTGAAACGACATCGGTTATCAATTAGAGGGTAGAGATTTACAATGTTTATTAATCACAATTTTGATTATTTTTAATTCACTAATGCTATTTTCAACATACATATGAAGGGAGTCTGAACTAAAATCAGAAACTATACAACAAACTGTCAAGAATTACACTTCTTGTCTATCTATTTTTACACCATTTCAATTGCTGACTTTTTCGTCACACTGCAATGTTAGTGCACAGCTATATCCATCATTTCTTCCAGACATATACAACATTACGCAATAAAAAATTAAGCATTTATTGAAACTTTTCTTTATTTCAGTAACTGTTTTCCCAAGCTTTAAAATGGAAATCAATTCCCAATTCTCCCTTTTTCTGAATTTTCTCTGACGTTATAAAAACTAAATGAAACTAATCTGATAGCAACATGCTGTGAAAAAAAAGGGTAAAGCACATGGGAGATACGACTTTTAATCAAGCAGTTCAACACTAGCCATTATAACATCATCAGACGAATACTATAGAGGATTTTCGAGTTTGTAAAAAAAATTTTTTTTCATCGTTTAGGATATTTATCATCATATGAAACACCAGTGAGATGATGAGTTTCTTTTTATATTAGATCGTTTTGATCATCTTGAAAAAATGAAGTATGAAAATATATAATGAATGGAAATATAACTAATACTTCGTAGTTAATTAAGAAGCCACAAATCTTTGTTTGTCTTTATTCACATACTAGTAAAGTTCTCAGAATGAAAAAAATTTTTAATAGTAATATTGTATAATTGTGGACGAAATAGTAAATATTACACTTAAAGCTTCTATATTCTTTGGAAATTATAACTCAGAATCATATTTTGCTTGATCAATACTCAAATAAAACTATCCAATTAATATTTACATCACGTAATTTATTCTGACTATTCATCATTCAAATTTTTACCTAAGACTATTCAAATTTTAAATCATCAAATTTCAAACCTATATCTATTATAATTTCAAAACAGGAATAAAATGCCGCCGAAAGCAATTATATTACACAAACTACATATATATCAATAAAATTTGAAACATTGAAAAATTTGTTTACATTTCTATTAGTAAAATTATAGCTAATTACCAATTCAACTGACTTACATCAAAGAAGGTAACCATCATCATCATATGTTAAGAACAAGTTACTTTGTGTACATTTTTCTAGCAAACAGAAGAGATTAACAGGATTATTACAATAAACCAGAAATGCGTGAAAAATTGCATGGGATAACAAACCTTTAAAATCATTATTCATGCATTCCTTATAAACAATTTATCACGACTTAAATTCCAATTTCTTTCAAACTAACTAAAATAAATAATTCTTTCCAAAAAAATCACGAACTTTTTGCTTTTGAATATCAATAAAAAACTTTCTCCAATAAATCCCAAAACTTATAAATAATCAGTGTATGTCAATGTTTAAAAGCTGCATCGAAAATGAAAACTTAATCGTTGCGTATTGAGAATACTATAACCAAACATTTGGGGACGTACTCAATAAATGCACACCCATTACCAGTAAAAATCTACCAAATCAATTAAAACTAATTACTAAACTTTGTAATTACTAAAAATATTTCGTTAATTAAAAATCTGTTAGTTTGCTATTTTTATGTGTTTGAATTTTTTTTAAATTAATCAATCTTTGAATTGAACACAAATTTTATCAGTACTACTGAATAAAAAGGCATCGATTTTGGCTCTTTTCTAGGCATCACAGAACAGAATGAGAGTTTGAGTAAATGGGATAATTAGGATGATTTCCAAGACTTCACCAGATATGAATACGTACTTTGATTCAAAACTCATCAGAACAACATTTAAAACCACAGTCAAGTGCAATCAGGCAAACAGGAAATAATTCAGAATATAAGATTCTGATCATGCAAAAATATTTAAAAGTAAAATTTTCGTCTGAAAAAAAAAACTTGTCGGGCAACTCACGAACTAGATAATGATGTTGTATAACAAATCACATTCAGAAACCAATGAGAGTAGAGTTATGCTCAAGTAATATGAACTCGAGAATCCACTTTTTTGTTTAGAACTACTAATAATTTGTAACGCCAATAAATAAATTCATAAAGAACAAGTAATGACCTTGCATTTCAGTAATGCAATCATTCATACATTACTCTGTTTAAAGCAAGTGATAAAAGAAATGAGACATTTTGAACAGCAATCAAAGTAAAACAGAGAGAAAAATTACCTCTATCGGAATCTTGGTCATCAATCGTTTGCGACGATTCTGATGATTCTTTTATAGCACTTGGGGGTGCTTCTTTCTTGTTCAGCAGATTACGACCTAAAAAATTGAGCACTAAAACTTAATTAAAATTATTGCTTTGTTTCTTTAAAAATATCTTTTGATCAAATAACCATATGAAAATTCTTAGCATACTGGCAATCTGAACATAAGCATTACTGTGTACTGAGTAACAAATGAAATAAATACGCTTGTAAGGAAAACAACGGATGTTGAACAAAAATAGCAAATGGAAGAGATAATGAAGAATAGACAAAGTAGGTCTGTCATATATGAAATTTAATATTTATTTTTCATCGTCACTGAAAAAAGTATGCTTTTAACAACTTTTGCAGCAAATAAAACGAGTGCCAAGATCAGTTTGCGTAGGATCAGTTATAAATAAGATTGTTCTTTAATTAGAGAGGAATAAAAGAGTCTGATAACAACACAAAATCTCACTAACAGACACAATGATGACAATAAAAAAGAAAATAAAAGTAGACTATCAAAGTTTAGAACAAAATATATTTGAGAATCATACACTAATTTTAATATACTCCAATTTCGGTGAGATACAAGGTAGACATTGATACTCACCACGACATGTGTTAATTACAGTAACTGGTGGATGGATAACCTCAAAAGTTGAAGCCCTTCTTGAAGCACAACACTGTGGTGCGTTCGCAGCTTTGTCATCTGACTTACTACGTTTGAGAGTTGTGTCAGAGAATAAATGAGATGCAGTTAATGCTGTCGTGATATTGTTAGCATAAAGTTTGGAATATTTGGCTGCTAAATGGCAAACAGCAATAGAAGTGAAAGCAAATAAAAGTAGAGGCCATAATTGTGTAAGTTGCTCCACAACGACCACAACAACATAAAACATCTTAAGAAAATGTGAATGAATGCAAATGTTTCCGCAACAGCTTCTGGATTAACTCACTAAATGCTACTGATTGAGCTATCAACTAGGCTTCAGCTTCAGTCTCACTTTTCTTGCTTCAAAATCAATGCTAGAGTAGCAGTAATAGCATAAGCAACGAAAAAATCACATTTGTTGTTACTTTTCAGCTCTCACAGTGAATGCAACCCACATCGACCACTCTTATATTATCCATCTCTTAGTTTTTGTTTACTTCAGCTTATACCATCTGTTCATCGACCCGTCATTCACTGAATTATAAAAACGAAATTTCACTAGACTATTTACAATCTTTGACGATCAGTTAATCTATTGTGCGGGCACTCTTTCGATATTGCTTGCTCTCATTAATCTCTATCAAATGCATGCTGCATCTTTACAATCTCATTACCCCACCTGTCATTAGTTCTATTAATAAAACTTCTAGTGTTGTTATTTTCTGGTTAATTTTAATTTAATATTTTTCATTTCATTACAAAAGCTACTGCTTCACCACTATAGCGAACAAATGATCCATCCATACATAACCAAGCAATTTGAAATATTTTGCGCTCCAAAATGAGTACAATATTTTGTCTAGAAAAAATACTACCAATCAATGTTGTCCAGTTAGAAGAAAATTTATTTAAATTTACACTAGACGACTACATGTGTACACATTAAAATAAATACAAGCAAAAGTTTTTTTTCAAAAAAAGAAATTGATCTTGAAACGCGAATTTCGGTAATTGGAGAATCTTAATAGTTAAATCACATTACAAATTAAGGAGATTAAATTGTGGCGGAAAAAAAAAATCTGTGAATATAAAACAAACATGAAGCAAACTAGTCTATTACATTTATCTTTTCCATGGAGAAAGCTTGATTTTTTTTTCTTTCTAGTCCATAATATATGGAGTCATTCATTCCCACGTAAAGAGAACAAAATAATGACTATACAATGAACAATAAATAATATGATGGATGCCAAGTCAATCAGATGAAAAAATATAAAAAGAAAGTCAAAAAAGATTTAAAAGTGATATTGAAGTTAATCGTAGCCAATTACCACCCACTGGCAACTGAGAATTTGTTCTTACGCATGGCTTATAAATAACAAATAAATAATGATCACAGAGCAAGCTGTAAAAGTATGCTATCTATCGTAGCTGCCACACAATAACATATATTCACTATTTGTGATAATGCTTTTTACTAACAAATAACCGAATTATTTATGCAAAATTCTCTGAAAATACATACCTTATAATCTACAAACTAGTAAGCCTTGCTTTCTCTAATGCGATGAATTTCACATATTCTTCAACCTCCTACAAAACATATTACTCTCCTTTTCAAAATAAATATTAAATTTGCCAAATGCTAGAAACATTGCATCGAATAGAGAAATAAGAATAATTTTCTTTCTTTCTCACACTGTAGCCTATAAATTATAACGATTCAACCAGTTAATGACGAACAATGCAGTAGGATGATAAGATAGCGAAAGAATGAGGCTAAATATTACTGAACACAATCGCTAAAGAATTTTTCTAACTTTTGAAAGATATTAAATTTTAATTATACAAAGTGTTGCATTTTTTACCTATTTGTACTACTAATGAGATTTGTTGGTTGCTTTTACGATTAGATTATTAGAACACACCGTCTGATAAATAACGAGAGTAGGATTTTCTATTAGCAGTAGTATATCGCAAAAATCTCTATTCTAGACGATTCGGGAATACAAATAATGACTATAGTAACTCTCATCTAATATCTAATGATACAGCTGTGCTGTTCTGATTTTGAATGAAACTTAATTGAATACATGCAGCGGTTAGTACTTGACAAAGTTTTTCAAAACATTTCCATTGTCTTTCAAAAAAAGATCACGTTGAACGATAAACAGTAGAATGTTTCAGAGTTTCCATCTACGTAATTGAACTTAAATAATGCTAGATACTGAGCATAAATAACAAGTACAGCATTACAATCAAACTTTTCAGTTTAAACAAATTTAATTGTAATACTCATCTCACTTCAATTTCACAAGCCACAAAAACTTCTACTGATGACCACTTTTCAATCATAACTTTTGAAAAATGGAAGAACATATGCAATGCTTTGCTTAAAAAGTATCAATTACCATAAACAAAAATGATTTACAATACTAAAATCTCAACTGGAGTAAAATATGATGTACACTGAACTTACTTGATAAATTCCGCGTTGCAATCATTGTTGTCAATATTGCACCCTGAAAATGTATAATATTTAATAATTTCTCAATCATTTAATATATTACTGAATTAAAAATTTTACTTACATAAAACCATTTTCGCTAGTAATCACCAACTGAGGACAATAGATGAGAGCAAGGCTAATTTCTACTCAGAAAAGTGAATCATTAACGAACTTAAAACCATATTATAATAAGCCTCAACACTTATCTGACGATTTTAGTTATGTATAACACTTTAGATTTAAATAATTATATTGGTTCAAGAAAATGCATGCATAATAATTTATTTCTTTTTGGAACACATTCCTCTTCATAAAGTGTCTCATCTATAATTTTCCCTTTCCTGAACAACAACTCGCTAATTAAAAAAACAAAAACAGAACGATCTTGAATGTAAGGAACAATTTCTTGGATAAAAAAGTTTGAATAAAATTAGTTTCCAATGCAGCAGTAGGGGTGTAATGCTTCACTATAATAAAAAAATTTTGACTTAACATTATTTTCTAATTCATACTTCACAGAGCATAAGAAATTTTATAACTTCCTCCACATCTTAGAAGTAATATCTAACTAAATTATTCCTCATATTAATGCAAACAACAATAAAAACAATATCACACAGAAAAGTAAATGATAAAACGATGTACTGAGTCAACAGAAACAGAAAATAAGAATAAGTGCAAATAATCATCTCTAAACTACTAGCACTGTTTTTGAAAAAGTTATCTAAAAAGCTACTAGCCATATAAACATTACTTAATATAAGTTTCACAAAGCACTGGCAGCATTTGAAAGAACCTATTAATTTACAGAATATACCGAAAAAGTTTTGAAAGACATGCATAAATTTTAATAACGAACTCACGCTTGTTATGTGTAAACGCAAAATAATGAGAACGACGGAATAAATGAAAATTTTTTACATAATTAATCAAACAATTTTTACAATTATCATCACATTAGCACTTCATTCGCAATTTTTGACTCCAAAATTATTGTAAAACAAATGTAATGATAATCACTTTCAATTTTCCAAATTATCTCATTGAAAGCCAAGCATTATGCAGAAGATGAAAGTATTGAGAGATGAATTTATTGCTTCAAATTAGTTTTAGGAGAATAAAAATAACAATTTTCAAAGTGACTGTGTGAAAGGTATGCTTAATTAACAACTGAAATGTTACGGAAAGGATGCAAAACAAAGACTACAAATCCAGACAACATTTTATTCACAACTTCCATAAATTTTCAAGAAAATTTCTTAAAAGAATCTTTCAAAAATTTTTAACGAATAGCCAAGAAATTTGATATTTTCTATAGACCTGGCATTTTGATTTTGATACAAGAATGACAGAGTTTGCTTTCTAATTTTAAAACATAGCATCTTCCTTGAGTTACATCACTCAAATTCTAAACTTAACAATTATTCAACACTAAGAGAATGCTTGGATGAAGTGAATTGACAGTGAGTAAAGCTGCAACATAAAATGTTAGTCAGTATTTTGACCATGACAAAAAAGCTTACTCAATAGCTGTTTTGTGAAGCATGGTCAGAATATGAAAACACATCACATGCAAGAGTAGAGTATGGACTAAAATAATGGCAGGATGTCATTCAGTAAAAAAAATCCTTCACTGCGTATTACTTTTACAGAAGCGAAAATTTATTGATGCAACAAAAAACGTATCTGAATTTCACTGCAATAATCCTAACTATTTCAATAATTTTAATGAAACAAATCTTTAAAATCTTATAATCAGTACCATTTTTGGAGAAAGAGGGTAAAAAAGTAACAAAAGGAACATGTTTCATACATCTCATCACTAATTGTTAATGCCAAACAACAAAACATGCAAAAATGTACTCAGAGTATTGTGAATATATGGAAAGCAATACTAAAAATAAAGGAAACAGAAGCCAACCAACACACTACCTCACATCTGCCATTGGTGTTGAAGATGGTTGAACTGCTACTACTGCTATTGCTGTTACACCCATTATCAGTCTCAGTTCCATACAATACTTCTTCATTGGACTGAATGACTGCTGAAGGACCGGATGAAGATGCCGATGAATCGACAGATATTAATGGTCCAGATACGGTAATATGCGACCGTAAATCATTACCACTTCGAAACACACCACCCATGCGTTTTATAACTGTTACAGCAGATATTGCCGCCTTTAGACCCAAAGAACGGTTCAAATGTTACTTTTTGAAATCAGTACAAGTTGCAAACAAAAATACATTACCTCAGTTTAAAGACTTAATTATCTTGATAAAAAATTCTAATAATAAAATATTTCCAAGTGTTGCTGATGCATTTTACTTATTAGATATAAATTGCTTCATTATATTTTACTTCTATCAAAGACAATCCTGATGTGAATGAAGATTCGATGAACTGAAAATTAAGATGACAATATACGAAAATTATTGTTAAAAATGAAAGTGGAATCGATATTTCAGATACAGATTCTGCTCGATATTATTTTTATTGAAAAAAGAAATTAATTTTGCCATTTCTGAGAAGAGATTAACAAAAAATTAACATTCAGAGGCTGAATGATCAATAGTAACTATAAGAAACGCAAACTGCATGCTAATGAAAACCATGCAACTGACACATGCATCAAAAAATATGCATTCTGGAATAAAGTGAATGGGATAATAAGCAAAATCTCTGTGGGTGGAAATGAAAAGCGTGCTACTGCTTAGAGCACTGGTGACAGTGCGTGTGAAAAACTCAGTTTTAAAAATGTGGACTACTTGAACTTGGGAAAAAAATTATTTGATGAAAAAGAGAATAAAATAGATGAAATTTAAAAACAGGATTGAAGAAGTAAAAAACTTTCACTCTAAAAATTTTATGCAGTAATAAGCTTCTCGAAACAATCAAAATGAGAATGACGTTCAACAGTTCATAAAATCCAGCTTCATTAGTTAAAAGCTAATTTTTCTCTAAAAATACCTTTAATTTCCGCCTAGCGTTAAACTTCTTCAAACAATCGACTGTATCCTGACGATGCATCACCGATGCAACACGCTCACGATTCTAAATATAAAGATTTCACTGATTACACATAGCATTCATGACATTAAGAAAAAACATTTTCTTGACAAGACAAATCAATTTGATCAATTTCAAAAGCGTAAAAACTTACGCAAATCCACGGAACTTTCAATGCTTGTTCTGCTGTTATGCGCTTTTTTGGATTAACCGTTAACATGCTGTCAATCAGATTTTTAGCTTCGGGAGTAACTGTATCCCATTCAGGGCTTGGATACTGTAAGTACAAGTAAACCACTACAGAAGCCTTATTGTGGCTTTTAAAAAACTTCAAATAATTCATTTCTTTGAAAATTTTCGGCCACTGACCAAAAATGAATTCAGCGAAGCATCGCAAACTATGCTTGAAATAAATTAATTAATAAGAGCTTTTGCGGATCAGTCATGATTGAAATTAAAAAAGCCGGTTCTGTTTTGTGAGTACATCAATCTCATAAAGCTACGTAAAAACTTGCTAGTTCCACTTGTTAGCAAGTTTCAGCAATAAAAAAAGGCACTTACATCATAAGCACCTGCTTTTATTTGAGCATATAAACGATGCTGATCCTCGTCCCAAAATGGTGGATAGCCAACGAGGAGAATATAAAGGATAACTCCTAAAACGCTGTTTATGTATAGCGATAAGGGTCAAAGACTCAAAAACAGACAATTTCAACTTACCACATGCCCAAATGTCAACAGGTTTACCATACGGATCCTTCTTCAAAACTTCAGGTGAAAGATATCCCGGTGTGCCTGCAAATCCAAACCATGCTTCTGTGTCTCCTTGTACTTCAATTGCTAGACCAAAATCCGCTAATTTTACAGCTGCACCTTTTGCTTTACTCGCCAATAAGAGATTTTCTGGCTAAAACTTCACAAATACATTTTAAATCTCAGATCAATCATTTAAGATGAGCTTGAAGGAGACACAGATATATTAATTACTTTAGCAACCGATTATCTAATTATCTAAAATAAACCAACAAACCACTACTGCCTTTCAACGCTTTACACAAAAATATTACCTTGAGATCTCTGTGTACCACATTATTCAAGTGACAATAAGCGATTGATTCAAGGATTTGTTGTATGCAATGACTGAAATTCAGGATAACACAGATAGTTAAATAATCGACCACCAACAAGAATTCTCACTATTTAAAAAAATGTTTAAATTAATCAGTTCTGAGATTATCAACTTTGATAGAGTAATTCTCACTTCCACTGAAAATTTACAAAAACTACCTTGCATCAGCTTCACTGTAAAATTCTCTGGCAACAATGTCTTCAAATAATTCACCACCGGTCACTCTGCAAAATTTTTTAGAACAAATGGTAACTACGTAGTATTTAAGATAAAAAATGAATATTTTTAATTATTCGAAAAATTTCAACCCAGTAAACTTCATTATGAAAAATATGCCAAGAAATAATACTATTACAAGATCTAAACCTCGGAACAAAAATGATGCAATAAATTTTTCTTGCTTTTCTACAAATAAAAAACTCACAAATCAAAGACAAGGTAATGAAAAGCTTCTTCCTGAATGCTGTCGTGAAGACGAACTGAAATACATATATGTACTACATTGTTCTAATAACAACAAACGAAAACAAAACATGACAACAATAACAATAAATGTTTTCTTAATCAATAACGAAGAACAAAATTGACCAATATTTGGATGCTGCAGTTTGCGACATATTCGAGCTTCTCTTTCTAGTTTTTGAAAATCTAAAATTAAAGCATGAATGTATCAAAAGCATGAAAACAGGAAAAAACTGTATGACCACAATACGAGCTTTGGATAATTAGAATTATTTTCATAAAAGAATATTTTCCAGAGCATTGCACCGACTCTAAATTCTCACTCGTCATCGATTCACTTTGCTTTAAGTTTCTTCCTAATGATTTATAACCCGTTGCAAACTTTTTCTTACTTTTCTATGACACTTAAATGCCTATAAACAATAATTACATCGTGAGAGTCTAAACTTTTGATTCTCTTAAACAGACCATCAATTTTCCATCGTGTCTTTTTAGTATGCTCTGACAACATATAGTAAAAAAATTATGTACCACTCTAGAAATATGACTGAAAGAATGCAAAACCGATTTTACAATCAGCTATTCGTTTGCATGTTTTATGCAAATTCATCCCTTTCGTGAATTACGATGAAATTTAGAGGAGAAAATAACAAACTACACTTACTCAGATTCTTTGTAGAAATATATGAATTACAATATTTAGTAGCAAACCTCGTGCTGAGAGTTTCTTCGTATTAATAATTTTTGCAGCAAATTCCATGCCAGTTCGTTTCTGCACACATCGCCTCACAACCGAAAATGCACCTCTAAAATATTAATTCATTAGTTTCAGAATAGTCGTAAATAACTTGTTTTATCACATTTACAACAAGTAACTTTAAACGCTCAGAAGTACGTGAACTGGAAAAAACACAAAATGTTTTCAAACTATAACTGGCATATTTCTATCTGAAAGATTTTTGCTTGATGATATAAAGAAATCAATTATTGAAATGCAATCAAATAGCGGATCATATTAAAGATTATAACAAAGGATACTCTCAAGAAATAGTTATAAAAGATATGAAAAGAAAAAAACGAACTTTCCAAGCTCCTCTTTAACTTCATAATTATCGCTGAAATTTGTCGATGTATTATTCATGGTTTTATCGGACTACAGCATCACTACCATAATTTAGTTATATGATGCGATATGCATTTTGTTTCCAATATTTTTCAAGTTGTGAATTCAAGAAAAGACGAAAACTGCCAACAAGCAAAATTTTTTCTTCCAAATATTCTTCACTCTGTTAATTAATTTGTTCCAAATGTGGATCAATTACCTGTAAAAATGAATTCTTCATTTAAAACCAATAACAAATAATTGAAAAATCGAAAAGTATGCACGAGGATCAAGCACCATGGGGCACTTGACTTGCCTGACAAAAATACTTCTGTCCAGTCCATTATTTAGAACAAGATTCTATGTAATAAATTTTTTCTGCAATAAAAATTTTACGGAAATTTTGTTACAGAATGCTCTTATCACTTCGTTCATTTGACGAAATTTTATATGCAAAATTATTAAAGAAAAAATTTGTGGCAAAGCAATAGAGCGCAAAACTAAATTTATTGCAGAAAAATAAGTGTCTTTAGTCAATGAATAAATTATTGAATTTTTCACAATGGCAATGATGATGTTCTATGTAAATGTGAATAATGAATTGGTATACATAATTACATCCTCGAATAAATAAATATCTTGGAAATATTGTTTCATGTGATCGTAGCAAGTATAGAGATAATACGCCAAAATGTGAGTGTTATTTAAGGAAAAATATCTAAAATATTTATTAAGCTTATAATTCTCCTCAGTAGTATCATGATATTCAGATGGTCTGTAGCCACTCACAGCCAAGCACTTCTTATTATAAGAGAAATAGCGACAATATCATAGTACGTGTCCTTGATATTGATATTGATTTTGATTTAAGATAGTAAACAAGTCTAAAAGCAGCTTCCATGCTTACATGCCAAATATGTCAGAATTCAGCTGCTAACAAGATATGAACAAATTTTCTTATCAACCTATCCAATTACTACAATTTTGTTTGTAATATTATTCTTCAAAATTTTCTTTCCCATACAATATAGTATCAAAATTGAAAGCTACAGGTGAGAGTAAAAAATATTAAAGTACTAAAGTGAAGCATGTCGTGAAATGACTCGGTCAATAATTACACTGCAATGATTAAAATGAGTCAAAATAATTAAAGTTTTCGTTACTTCCTCGCATATATATACAAATATATGCGAAAAAGGAAATGTGATGAGAAAAGGTTTGCTTGAAAAGCTGTGCTTTTTGATATTAATGAGAGTGCTTGGATGATACTTGACTGAAAAAAATCCAATCATTTTAGTTGCCTTGTGAACACCTTCAGTATACAGCTATTATACTGAAGGGATGACAGAAAACAATTTAAACTAACTTTAAAAAGTGAGCATTTACAAACTATATGAGAAAAAAAATAATCATCATTGTAATTATTCTAAAAAACTGATGGAAATAGCGATATAAGAGTGACATTAACTAGAAAACTTCACGACAGTAAGTTTGAAGAAACTTTCAAGACAGTACAGTTTAACAATTACTCATTCAGCATTTAAAAATACCTCAAGGAGTCTAGCAATAGGAATTTCAACAGGGCAAAATTTGGCAAATTCTTCCAACTCAATCTGATTAATTTTATGAGCAAATTTAATTTAATAACTTTTTCAGACGTTAAACCCTTTAATGTAGTTCAGAGAACTGCACCGAAAAAGACTGCAGTAGCTGCACTAGAATGAATAAATGACAACAGGGCTTAGCCTCAAGCTTAAGAAAGTGAACAAAACATCTTCCCCTATCGAAAAATTAAAGTTCATTAATTAAAATAATTTGAAAGTTCGGAAATATATCAATTTTTACTGCTTTAATGATCAATCTAACAAGTATATGTCATCTAGTTTTGGAGATAGCTATGTGAAAAACAGACTTGCATTAAATCACACAGATTACTTGCCAGGATCTATAGGTAAATAATTTGAGAGATAAAGCAACCAGGTGGAAACATACACAAAAACTTCAGTTCATAATAGGCTTGCAGGAGTAATTATTTAGTAAATCATTAGGTCTACGAAAATTATTCATACACAATTGGTGGGTACTTTGTAACAATCAACTAAGTGACTTGCGGACTAAAGATTTTGAATTGCGCTGACTAATTTCTAGATGGATGATTCGCAATTTTTGCAGTTTTAATTTTTTTTTTCACATCGTGCTGCGAATAATTTCAAATTAAATTTTAATAACACCTCGCATACCAATCAAATTCTTATTTATAATATATTTTTCCGACTTAAATAAAAGCTTCACTGAAATATTAATGACATTTCTTTTCACAAGACAAATGAAATTAGCGAGAGAGGTGAACATGATATTTCATGTTACGGTAAGACTAAATGGCTCTATATAAAATTTGCTGAATTCATTTTTCACTTCCTTTTAGCAAATAATGATCGTTCAGTAATTTATGCATTTTATTCCTTTTTCCGAGCATGAAAAAAACATCTTACATTATATAATATAACAACTTGCTATCTTCCCTATTAACATTTGCCAAAAAATATAATTTTATTACAGTCTGTAGCTATCAACCAATTAAGATCTTTTGTTCTTTCTTCCTTATGAAATAAAAAAATGAATATTTTTTGTTTTACTTCATTCTTTGAACAGATAAATATCTATAACGGTCTACTTTAAAAGCAATCAAGTAAAAGTATAAAAACGATTAAGGGAAATAAACTGAAAATGTGTGCAAATTGGAACAACAAATTTAGGAGGAAAACAAAAAAAAGTGACGAACATTCACCTTGCCTCTAACATTAATGCGCTTATCTAATTTTGATTCACTCCTTGAAATATAAATACGATCATATTCACTATACTTTTATGACCAATAATTTTGCGGGCATTCAAAACTGTCAACAATACAATAGACGTATCATAGATGCCAAAATAAAGAAGTGCTTTGATATATATAAATCCTTAAGAACCGTTTGAAGATGAGAGAGAAAACAATTTATGAGAAGCCATGCCCAAGCTTGCTTATTAGCCTTCAAGAATGATCAGTCCTCTACATTTTAGCTAGCATGAAGCGAAAAATTAATTTAACCAACGAAATATAACGAGTAAAATGAAGCAAAACAAGATGCAGAACTGGATGGAAATAAGTGAGTGAAAAAGATGAAGAGAAAAGTATAAAAATCGATCTACTCCATAACGTTTTTTCTGGCATTCGGGGAAGCTTCATGTTGGCTTTTACATCCCTTCTCGAGAACCAACAAACGGTTTTTGAAACTGCTATACCTCCTATTCAATAGATTTTTTTCTCTCTTAAATGACTCTGGAACATATGTAGAAAAGGCAGTCTCTCTCTTCGGGATGCAATGAAGCAGGGTTTGAAAACAATTTCATATGCCTTTGGTTTGAGAAGCACTTTGCAGCGTTAGCATCATGTAACCGAGAAAAACGTTACTATCTCAAAATCTCTGATATAAATTTTGATATCTTCAGTTTCAGAAGACACAACAACAGTATAAGAAATATATTTCCTGATTTCAACATTAATAATCATGACAAACTTAACTTGACTATTCTTTATATTTCTTACTAGATATAATAAGCTAGAATACAGTTGAACTGAACATATCAAGTACTTAAACACTGGCGAGAGCTATCACTTTTGGATTGCTGCCACAGACTAACTTAGTGCATTTCCCATTTGCAATGCCTGATAACCATATTTGCTTCCATTTCTCCTACATTAATTCTAGCCCATTTTCTAGCTAGCTAAGATAACAAACACACCATGTGCTTATTTACCTAGTAATGCAAACATAACAGCAATGAATAAAAACCATAACTTCAAATTAATCCTAAATTTTATCGACAAAAACATGACTATGCCAAAAGAAAGATTTGAAAGGTAGCGAGCACTGTAAATTTTTAATTAATAAAATGTTTTCAGCAACACATGCAGTCGATAGACACCAATGTCAACTATTAATGAATCATCAAATGATAAACTTTGAACTGATGAGGAACAAAAATGACTGAGTGAAAAGCATTTTAGTATAGATCAAATGCTAAAAGAAGCAACTAAATTATCCACAAATGAAAGAAATCCACAACCATGATTATGATTAGAAATTTATTTCGTCTCGTATATATCAATCGCCATAAAACGAATAAGATTTTGAGAGATTAATGTTAAGAAATGAAGAGAATAACTTAGAGAACAACAATCAAAGCTGACGCTTTCAATTACTGTAAGGAATAAATTGTTTCCATCAAACATCACTTATTGCATATCAAACAAAAGCACTCAAAATAACTGTCCACTGCAAACAACCGTCAAACAATGGCATGAAAAACTGCGTTACAATGACTGAAGTAGCTTAGAGACCTTTAAAATTATTAACAAAAAAAGGATGTCATGCTTGGCTTAAAATAATCTAATTAATATTGTATAAACTTCATGCTCAAAAATATTTGATATTAATGTTGGAAGTCATAAAAGGCTAAAGAATCGAAAACCAACGAGAAATAAAAGCTAGTAGCATATTAAAGGATCTGACAATAAACAGAGCTAGTTCTAGATCTAAATATAAACTAAACTTGTTCTTAGGTGTAGTGATGATGACAAACCGCTTCTTCCAGAGAAAACAAAACAATTGATTTCTTAAGTCTCCTTCCGCAACACGTCTCGTTTTTAATTCCAGAATAGCTGGTCAATATATGTCTCCTCTTCAGCAGGAAATTTTTACATCAATTTTTTCCTTCGAAAATATTTATGTTTTTAAATCTCTTTCACCAGTATATATCCCAAAAAAGTGTACATACTAACAGGTTTAATAAATCAATAGCGCCATAATTTAACCAGCCAAACATGATCAAATAAGCCTGGCAAAATGAAAATACATAGTACTTTTATTTTCATGATTGGAAGCTTAAAAGTAATTTACATCTAACAAACACTAATAGTAGTACATACTGATACAAGCAGGAATCAATCACTTGATGAACACTAGATGCTAAAATAAATCAGTCCGAAATTTTCA